TGAGCATTGACCCAAAGGCCCCAGTTTGATCCCCAGCCAGGCCCAGGCCCAGGCCCAGGCTGTGGGCTCCATCCCCAGTGTGGGCCCTGCAGGTGGCAGCTGATCAATGACGTTTCTACCTATCGTTCCCCCTAAAATATTAATTAAAACATATTTTTAAAAACAGGGGGGGGGTTAGGGCATATGTAGGGAGGGGTTTGGGATGGGATTGGGAGGATGAGGACAATTATGTGATACCATAACCAGTAAAATAAAAAATTAAAATAAAAGCAGAGGGTCTGGCTGGACCCCGCAGGCTCAGAGGCTGAGGGAGAGATCAGCCCCTCCCGGAGCCCCAGCCGGCTCCGGGGGGCAGGGGGGAGGGCCTGGGGTGACGATCTGTGTCCTCAGTTCCAGACGCTCCGCTCCCTGAGGAGGACATCCTGTACCCGGCAGAGCCGGCCCGAGCTGCGCTCCCCTCCGGCCGCCCCTTCCGCGTCCGCTCGCCCCCCGCGGCCCCCACCACGGTCCCTCTGTCCCCCGCCGGCCTGGGCAAGCCTGACCCCATCGCCATCCTGAGCCGCAACGCCACCCACCCGCTGCTGCACATCAGCACGCTGTACGAGGCCCGGGAGGAGGAAGACGGGGGGCCCCGGGCACCCCCAGACATGGGGAGCCTCATCGCCATCCCCCCGCCCCAGCAGATCCTCATCGCCACCTTCGATGAGCCGAGGACCGTAGTGAGTACCGTGGAGTTCTGAGGGCGCATGGCTGCCAGGGCCCCCGGGACCCTCTGCATGGCCAGGGTACACCACCGCCCCGCACTGCCGCCCCAGCCTCCCACCCGCATGCCTAGGGGCCCAGCACCCGCCTCCCCTCTGTGGCATTGTTGGGGTGCTGGCTGGGCCAGGGGCAGGCCGTGAGCACCCGCCCCTGCATCAGGCGCTCGCTGTGAGACGAAGAGTTTATTTTCTTAGTAGTTCGTTTTGTCTGGGCCCAGGATGCTGGCCAGAGGAGATGGTCTGTGGGGACGTGTGGGTCCAAGGTGCACAGGAAGCTGGGGCATGGCACCTCAGGCCTGGGATGCACAGCCGCTGAGCCACACTGTGCTCCTGGCTGGCCCTGGCAGGGGCCTGACACCCTCGGGTCAAAGGTCAACATGCACTTTCTCCCTGTACCCCGACTGCCTGTACGTCACTGTGGTTACTGTAACCCGCAAGTGTCTCTCTCGTCAGGAGACTTAGGGTGCGTTTAAAACAAAGGGTGTGTGTGTGGGCGTGTGTGTGGCCAGATGGGGGGGCGCCTGTGTGCAGGTGGACACGGGTGAGTGTGCAAAGCATGCGTGAGTGGGCACCGGCGTGTGAGCCAGTGTGGGCTCGGGCCCAGGCTAGCGTCACGGTGAGGCCAGGCGCGGGCCGGCGCGGGAGCGAGGAAAGGAGTCCAACGCAATAACCAGTCCCCCCGGACGCAGCCCCTGGCCCCGGCCCACGCCGCGTCCCGCGGAGCCCGGGCCAGCGCGGCCGTCTGTCCCTATTACCTCAGCCACGGCAACAACGTGACAGTATGAACAGGTAGCACCGAGCATATCAATAAAGACTATTCTGATACGTCCGCGTCCGCGTGGTCCGCGCTGCGGGCCTGTGCTCTGGCCAGGCCTCCTGTGTCCGACTGCATGCCGACCCCTGACCCATCCTTACAGGCCCCGGGGGCGCCCCTGCCTTCCCGGTCAGCCCTGGGGTGCGGCCGACCCAAGCGAGGCCGACGCTCCTGGTGGTCACGCCAGGGCCTCTTGCTAACTGGCTGCAGGCGCCAAGAGACCAGGTGAGCCCTCCGGGCGCTCAGGCTCCACTGAGACAAGACAGGGGCCCAGAGGATGGGGCTGCCGGGTACACTCCACGGAGCAGGGGCTGCTGGGTACTCTCCGCGGAGCAGGGGCTGCTGGGTACTCTCCGCGGAGCAGGGGGGGCTGCTGGGTACACTCCGCGGAGCAGGGGCTGCTGGGTACACTCTGCGGAGCAGGGGGGCGGGCTGCTGGGTACACTCTGAGGAGCAGGGGCTGCTGGGTACACTCTGCGGAGCAGGGGGGGCTGCTAGATACACTCCGCGGAGCAGGGGCTGCTGGGTACACTCTGCGGAGCAGGGGCTGCTGGGTACACTCTGCGGAGCAGGGGCTGTTGGGTACACTCTGCGGAGCAGGGGCTGTTGGGTACACTCTGCGGAGCAGGGGCTGCTGGGTACGTTCCGCAGAGCAGGGGGGGCTGCTGGGTACACTCTGCGGAGCAGGGGGGCGGGCTGCTGGGTACACTCCGAGGAGCAGGGGCTGCTGGGTACACTCTGCGGAGCAGGGGGGGGCTGCTGGGTACACTCCGCAGAGCAGGGGCTGCTGGGTACACTCCGCGGAGCAGGGGCTGCTGGGTACACTCTGAGGAGCAGGGGCTGCTGGGTACGTTCCGCAGAGCAGGGGGGGCTGCTGGGTACACTCCGCGGAGCAGGGGCTGCTGGGTACACTCTGCGGAGCAGGGGCTGCTGGGTACGTTCCGCAGAGCAGGGGGGGCTGCTGGGTACACTCTGCGGAGCAGGGGGGCGGGCTGCTGGGTACACTGAGGAGCAGGGGCTGCTGGGTACGCTCCGCGGAGCAGAGGGGCGGGCTGCTGGGTACACTCCGCGGAGCAGGGGCTGCTGGGTACACTCTGCGGAGCAGGGGGGCGGGCTGCTGGGTACACTCTGAGGAGCAGGGGCTGCTGGGTACGCTCCGCGGAGCAGGGGCTGCTGGGTACGCTCCGCGGAGCAGGGGCTGCTGGGTACACTCTGCGGAGCAGGGGCTGCTGGGTACACTCTGCGGAGCAGGGGCTGCTGGGTACGCTCCGCGGAGCAGGGGCTGCTGGGTACGCTCCGCGGAGCAGGGGCTGCGGGCCGGACCAGGAAGGCTCCCGGCGGAGGCATCCAGGCCGTGGCCTTGAGAGGGTCCAGGGCAGGGTCTCCCATCACCAGGCCTAGGATTCGGGCGGGGATAAAGGGGCCCTGGGTAGAGCCACACGGCACGTGGCCCTCGTGCAGGCAGGTGGCCGGCAGTGGGCCGGAGACCTGCAGGCAGAGCAGGCAGGCGAAGGCCCGGAATGGCGGGGGCCCCGCGCGGGCAGACCTGACCGCCCGCCCGGCCTGGAGCCCCTGCACCCACCCAGCGGCCAGGAGCCGGTTGCCGGTCGTGGGCAGGCTGCAGCCCACCAGGGTCTGCAGTGGGTTTGCTGTGGTTCAGGTGTGAGGCGGGGCCGGGGCAGGGGCCGCTGAGAGGACTGTTTGGCTCCCGGCCTCCAGGAGGCGGGGCAGCACCGGGCGGGCGAGGCGGGCGCAGGGTCCGCCCTGTGGTCTCATCGGGAGGAACAGACGGGGAGCAGTGAGGACTGCAATGTGAAGTGTCGGGGCTCGGGGCACAGGGCTGCCCTGGCTGTCGGGGTTCTGGCCCCGGGAGATGAGGGCCGGTGGGGGGTACGCGGCACCTGCACTCGTCCATGGGAGGGGTCCGTGTGCCCACAGGACTGAAGCAGGCCGCCCGCCCTGCAGGCACGGGGAGCCGCGGCTCCAGGCGCACCCCTCCCCTCCGGGTCCCACACTGGCACCTCGCTCCATGGAGACGAGGGGGGTCTTGGGGACCCGCCAGGGAGCACAGGTCATGCAGGCCTCGGTGTCCACATGGCCACGGGCCCCTGCCCCGCCTCCCGTGGCCCTCACCACCCCACACCTGCACGTGTGGAGCCCAGCTTGTCCGCTGGCGGCCGCCTGCTGACCCTGCCCCCCGGGGTGACTCCACTCAGTGGAGACGCCCCGAGTCCCGCCGCGGGTGTGCCACCTGAGCACGGCCAGTGGCTCACGGGGCGCCCACGGATCCAGGCGGGGCTGGGGACCCCTCCCGGGGGCTCTGCATGGGTCAGGCTGCCCCCATCTGCCCCCTGGGCCAAGTTCTGTCCCTCGGGGTCAACGCCGGGCCCTTGGTGTGCAGGGACATTTGCTGAGTCACTGCCCGCAGAGGCGGCACCTCACTGCAGGGGCCGGTGGGGACCGTCCCCCCCCCACAGGGTGCGGAGGCTGGGGAGACGCGGCAGCCCCCCTCAGCCAGGCCTCCGCCCGCCACGCCAGCCCCACGTGGGCTGCCTCTCAGCGCGCTCCGCCCCGGCCGAGTGGGCCACGGCACAGGGCCTGTCAGCACCGTCCTCCCGGTGGAGGGGCCCAGGGGCCGGGGCCGCACTCAGAGCCGGTGAGAGCCGGACCCAGGGCTGCGCCGGCAATGCCCGGCCAGGAGAGCAGGCAGCCCTGGGCCAGGAGCCGGGGAGGAGGGCCCAGGGCACCGGCACACTCAGTGGTGGGAGCAGGAGTTTCCGGGGAGCTGGGGTGCGGGGGGCGCCCGTAGGAAGCCCTCACCACACCCACCAACTGCAGCGCCCGGCCCGCAGCGGGACGTCTCTCCCGAGAGGGGCGAGGCCGACAAGGGAGTGGAGGGGAAGGGAGAGGCTGCCTCTGGGCAGTGGGCGGGGAGGCCGGGAGGACTGGGCGTCCCACACCCACCCTGCGCCCCGAAGCCGCTGGGCACCGCCCCTCGTGCCCTGGGGTCCGAGGGAGGTAGGGCCCCTCCGCTGGCAGCGGGCGCAGGGCTCCAGCCTGGCCGCGCGCCAGGAGACCGGGTCCCCAGCCAGAGTTCTCCACTCTCTGGGTCGCCCCTTTCGTCGTTACCATTGGACGCAAAGCCATCCTGTGGACGCTGTACGAACAGCATTCGCATTTGACAGACTGGGAGCTGCCATCAAAGAGAATTTAAGGGCTTCGCAAGGCCTTCCCGCCCGGTCGGCGGGCCAGGGACTCGAACTCGCCTCACCGCCGACGGTGTCCCAAGACCCGAGTCTCCGAGGCGGAGCGACGCTTTCCCGCACGCGGCCTTCTGGGAGTTGTAGTCCGCGGGCGCCCGCGCGCGGCTCCCTGGGAAATGTAGTCCTCCTGTGCGCCGAGGAGGCGAGCTGGCGGCGTGAGGAACTGTGCTTCCCGGCATGCCGCGCGCTCCGGGCCCGGCCTCCGGCCTGTCCGGCCGCCCCGCCCCGCGGCCCCGGCCCGCCCCGCCCCGTCCGGTGGGGCTGCGAGCCGCATGGAGGCCGGCTGAGGAGCGCCGCGCGCCCGGGTACGTCGCGCGGGCCGGCGGCGGGGGTCTCGGGCCCGGCGGCGCGGCCGGGGCGGGGCGGGGCGGGGCCCGGGCGGCGGGGACGGGGTCCCCGGGTCCCGCGCCTCGGCGGCGGCCTGGCGCGGGCGGAGCGGGGCTGCCATATGGCGGGGGAGCCCGAGGGGCCGCTGACAGCCCGGCCCCGCGCGTCCGGGCAGCCGCCTGTCGGTGTAACTCACGTGCCGCGAAGTTCGCGTCTTGGTGGGACCCCCGCGGGGCGTCCCGCGGCCTCGGGGGCCGGGCGGGTGCAGGGGCCCGGCTGCCCGCCCCCGGGGGCCCCCGGCTCCCCGCTCCGGCCGGGCCCTCCTGCCCCTGCGGCTGCCCCCCCCCCCATGTGACGGGGCCCGGCTCCGGGTCCGGCGGCCGCGGGGCCGTGTCCGAGGCCGCGGCTGCGGCTGCGGCAGGTCGGCCGGACAGGCCCGGGCGGGCGGCGGGCCGGGGCCGCGAGGTGGTCGGTGCGGCAGCAGCACCGGGGCTTCCGGGAGGGCGGCCGGGGCTGGACCGGGAGCCACGGAGGCCCGGACTGGGCCGGCGTGTCATCACCGCGACCCGCGTCCACCCCTCCGAGCCGGTCCTGCCAGCCCGGGCGCCGGCCGCACCGCCCGGAAGCAGCTGGCAGGGAGGCCGCGGGTCGCAGTCCTTAGAGGGAAGGGGCGGCCGGCGCTCAGGCCACCTGTCTCCCGCTTGGAGGCCCACGATCGAGGGGCCGGCTGCTGGGGGCGCGGGGAGACCCTCCTCCCGGCTGCAGGGGGCCAGCTTCTGGGCCTCTTCTCGGGGCCCTCATCCACCACCCACCACCCCCCCCCCATCTGAGCCTGACCACCTCCCAGGGGCCCCGCCTCCTGACACCGTCACGTTGGGGCTAGGGCTTCAGCCACGTGAACCTGGGGAGGGGACAGCCAATGGCCTGTCCTCACACCGTGAACTGTCTGACAGCCTCAGGTTCTGCCCTGCAACCGGATAACCCCCACGCACACATAGGACACGTCACCTGCTGCTCTGATTGTGTCCCTGGTCTGCACACCACGGTGGGTCCCTACCACACAGGGGATTCTTCCCAATAGATAGATAGATAGATAGATAGATAGGTAGATAGGATAGATAGATAGATAGATAGATAGATAGATAGATAGATGATAGATAGATAGAGAGATAGATGATAGATGTCAGAGAGGGAGTGGGGGAGAGAGAGAAACATCAGTGATGAGAATCATGGATCAACTGCCTCCTGAACTCCCCACACTGGGGATGGAACCTGCCTCCAGGCCATGTGCCCTGACTGGGACTCGAACCCTGAGTGAGCCCCACAGGCCAGGCTCTCCCTGCCTTCTGAGCCAGCCCCTCCCACAGCGTACTTGGCAAGACGGGATCTCCCACAATGTGGGTCTGTCTGCTGTCCCCGGGCAGTGCTGTGATCCCGTGTGGCAGGGACAGGCCGAGCTTCCGTGTTCGCTTCTTCCCAGCAGCGGGAAGCCGGAGGGGCCGAGTCATGGGCCGAGGGGCGTGTGTGTGTGTGTGGCGTGTGTGTGGCGTGTGTTTGGTAGCCTGGAGAGGCCCTGCTGGGAGGACTGGGCGGCCGGAGGGAGGAGTCCATGCTGGTACACGCGTCCAGCCAGCCACAGGGCACTGAGGCTGCTGAGAGCTGGCCGACCGGTGCCCGTCGCCCGGAGCACAGCTGCTGGCAGGTGGCAAACAAGCCCACCTGTTGGCCGGACAGACTGGCCGGGCGGCCCTGCTCCGCAGCTCCCTCTGACAGCTGTGCCCAGCACCTGCCCGGGCTGTGCTCGATGGACAGGGGGGCGAGGACGGGTCAGGCAGAGGCTCCTGCTGGCAGGGGCTGGCTCTGGAGCCTGGTGTGGGAGGGGTCAGCAGTGTCTGCTGTCCCTGCAGCCTGCAGCCCCAGGGAACTGGTGGGACACAGGTGCCCCTCCCCCCCGCCCCCCTTCCCTCCCCGCAGCAACGTGGGTGCAGGGAGGAGGCTGGGCCCGGCGGTCCATGGGGCTCGGCCCTGTGCCCCTCCGGGGTCCAGCCGTAGATTGGAAGGTGCTGATCAGGGAGCGGGGGGACGGGGGGGGGGGGAGGGGGGCTAATGACCCGTCACCTCCGGCCTGCGTGGGCATCGCCAAGGCCCTGCCGAGGGGCGGGAACCCAGCGTAGGAGGTGGTGCTGCGTGCGATGAGGCCAGAGGGTGCCTTGGGCTGGGATGGGCTCCGGGAAAGGGGACCCGGGTCCTGCTGCCGCCTCCCTCCTGCCTGGCCCCCTCCGGCACTGGCTTCCTCCTGGCGTCAGAGGGTGGTCTGGCCAGGCTGAGGGCGAGGAAGCTGAGGACAGAGGCCGGCCGGCCCTGTGGCCCCCGAAGGCTGGGGGGTGGAGGCGCCGTGGGCCCCGTTGGATGGCTGAGCACAGTGGTTCCCCGAGCTGTTTCAGTCCTCGTGCTGCTGGGAAGGGAGAACAGGCTGCCTCCCTCCGGGGTCTGACCGCCTCCCTCCTCGCCCCAAGGCCCAGCTTCCTGTTTCTGTGGGGGCGGTGCCTCTTCGGGCAGAGCTGTGTCAGGCCAGTTGTGCCTGGGAAGCTGGAGGAGGAGCTGGGAGGGGCGAGGCCCAGGTGAGCCGTGGCCGTGGCCAGGTGCCCGTGCTGCTGCGCTGCTTCTGGCAGGGACACCCCGGGGAGGCCGGGCCAGACTCGGCCCGCCGGGTCCCTTCCTGTCCCGCTCTGACTGCCCCCTCCCACTGGCCGCCCGGCCCGTCGTTCCTCTTCCTGGCCTTCTCGTCCTCGGGACCGGCCGCCCCTTCCCGCCAGCCCAGGCCCCTCTGAGCACCCTGGACGGAGCACCCTGCCCGGACAGCGCCTCCCTGCAGGGGAGGAGAGGAGCTCAGGCCCTGTGTGGCCGGTCAGCACTGAGGCAGGGACAGAGCTGACACGGTATCATGCTTATTCTACTCTCTGCTTTTCCTTTTTTAAAAACATTTTTTATATATTTTTATTTATTTCAGAGAGGAAGGAAGAGGGAGAGAGAGAAACATCAGTCAGTGGTGGGCTCCTCCTTACAGCAGGCAGCCCGGGCCTGTGCTCTGACTGGGAATCGAACTGTGGTCTCCTGGTTCACAGGTCGACCTCAGCCACTGGGCCACGCCGGCCTGGCTGTTTCCTGTTTGCCATAGAGTTCTGAGCTGAACCTGAGTGTCATCCTCGCTCGCCAAGGTGGCAGGTCCGGTCCTTGGCCGGGCGCTCACAGCCTCGGCCAGTGAACGATCAGCAAGCGGGGAGCAGGTTGATATTTCTCTCCCTCTCTCTGAAATCAATAAATAAATTTTAAAACTTAAAAAAATAACTAGCCCTACCTGGTGTGGCTCAGTAGATAGAGCCTTGGCCTTCGGACTGAAGGGTCCCAGGTTCGATTCCGGTCAAGGGCATGTACCTTGGTTGTGGGCACATCCTCAGTGGAGGGTGTGCAAGAGGCAGCTGATCGATGTTTCTAACTCTCCTCCTCCCTTCCTCTCTGTGAAAAGTTAGTAAAATACAATATATTTTTAATAAAATAGGGAGCGTTGGCCTGTCTGGCCCTGGCCGACAGGCTGGGAAACCCCACGCCTCCAGCCGCAGCTGTAGCCAAGCAGCCATCCCTTCCTCGGCAGCCCAGTCAGTCTGGTGTCTGCAGCCTCGTGGGTCTGGCCAGCGTTCGTTCTCCCTTCCTGAGCCTGTGCGGCCGCCAGTCCGGGCAGCGGGAGGTGAGGCGGCAGCCCTGGGCGCAGGCTGGCTGCTGCTCATGGCGGAGTCTCCACCCTCTGCGTCCGGCTGGGACCCTGGTGGCTGGTGATGCTGGTCCCACCCAGGGCCGTTCATGACGACCGACCAGACCCCGTGCCCTGACGGAGCCCTCCTCCCTTTCCCCCCCCCCCCCCCCCACCGAGCCCCCTGCACGGCCTGGGCTCCGGTGAGGATGGCCCTGTCTCCTCAGGCTCCCTGGTCGGTGCAGAGCCCCCTGCAGCCATGGAGGAGGAGGAGGAGCGGCCGGCTCAGGAGGTGAGGCCCGCGGGGGGCGGGGGCGCGGCCAGGGCGCGGCCAGCGGCTGGGGGAGCTGTTCCCAGGGGGGCAATGGCCACGCAGAGCTCCCGGTCCTGCGGGTGCTCCCAGCCCCGGGTGCCTGAACGGGGTGCCTGTCTGGGCGCGAGGATGTCTGCGGCTCAGGCAGCCCCAGGCAGGGGGTCCCCAACTCAGACACACCCCTTCCCTCTGCAGACCAATGCGGACTCCGCGGAGACCTCGGCAGCTGCAGAGGTGGCGCCCAGGGTGCCTCCCGGGGAACCCCAGAACCTGTGTTCCTGCTCCCGAGACCACGCGGTGCTGGCCGGCAAGGGGGGGCCGCGCCCTGGTTTGTGGACGGGCCCTCTGCCGGGGGCGGGGCTCAGCGTGGGGAGCGGCTGTGGGTGGGGAGCTGCATGTCAGAGCCTCCCTGTGCTCCCCACGGGGGCGAGGGCACCCCCCACGGGGGCATGGGCACCCCCCACGGGGGCGAGGGCACCTCCCCACGGGGGCGAGGGCACCCCCCACGGGGGCGAGGGCACCCCCCACGGGGGCGAGGGCACCCCCCACGGGGGCGAGGGCACCCCCCACGGGGGCGAGGGCACCCCCCACGGGGGCGAGGGCACCTCTCCACAGAGGGTGTGGGCACCCCCACGGGGGCGAGGGCACCTCTCCACAGAGGGTGTGGGCACCCCCACGGGGGCGAGGGCACCCCTCACTGAAGAGCGGGAACGGGGCTGCGCACCTGTGACCTCTCCCTGGGACGTGCCCCCGTCTCCGGGCCTCAGCACTGAGCGGCTCCTGTGTCCTTGCAGCCGACGCGGACGCCTTCCACCTGCTGCTGGAGATGAAGCTGAAGCGGCGGCGGGAGCGGCCCCGGCTGCCGCGCACGGTGACCGAGCTGGTGGCCGAGGACGGGAGCCGTGTGTACGTGGTGGGCACAGCCCACTTCAGCGATGACAGCAAGAGGGACGTGGTGAAGGTGACCGCCCCGGGCGGGGGTGAGGGGGCGGGGGGCGGGGGTGAGGGCGGGGGATGAGGCAGGAAGAGGGCAGGGGGGTGAGGTGGCGGGGGGTGAGGGCGGAGGGGTGAGGGCAGGGGGGGGCGGGAAGAGGGGACAGGGGGATGATGAGCGGGGGGAGGGGGGGGGCGCCGGGGGGGGGGTGAGGGCGGAGGGGTGAGGGGCGGAAAGAGGGGGCAGGGGGGTGGGGGGGCGCGGGGGGTGGGGGTGAGGGGGCGGGGTGTGAGGGGGAGGGGGCTGAGAGGGCGGGGGGTGAGGCAGGAAGAGGGCAGGGGGGTGAGGGGGCGGGGGGTGAGGGCGGAGGGGTGAGGGCAGGGGGGGCGGGAAGAGGGGGCAGGGCGGGTGAGGGGGCGGGGGTGAGGGCGGGGGGGGGGCGGGAAGAGGGGGCAGGGGGGTGAGGGGGCGGGGTGAGGGCGGAGGAGTGAGGGCAGGGGGGGCGGGAAGAGGGGGCAGGGGGGTGAGGGGGCGGGGGGTGAGGGCGGAGGGGTGAGGGCAGGGGGGGGCGGGAAGAGGGGCAGGGCGGTGAGGGGGCAGGGCGGTGAGGGGGCGGGGGTGAGGGCGGGAGGGGTGGGGGTGAGGGCGGGAAGAGGGGCGGGCTGCTGGGGACAGTCAGTGACGCCAGCCCCGCAGACCATCCGCGCGGTGCAGCCGGACGTGGTGGTGGTGGAGCTGTGCCAGTACCGCGTGTCCATGCTCAAGATGGACGAGCGCACGCTGCTGCGCGAGGCCAAGGAGCTCAGCCTGGAGAAGCTGCAGCAGGCCGTGCGGCAGGTGCGTCAGCGGGCCGCGCCTCAGCCCCGCCCGCCGGCCCGGGACGGTCACCCCTGCCCTGCCCGCCCCTGAGCCCGGCCCTGGTCCCGCCCCTGAGCCCGGGCCCCTGCCCTGCCCGCCCCTGGGCCCGGCCCTGGTCCCGCCCCTGAGCCCGGGCCCCTGCCCTGCCCGCCCCTGAGCCCGGGCCCCTGGTCCCACCCCTGAGCTCGGGACGGTCACCCCTGGTCACCCCTGCCCTGCCCGCCCGTGAGCCCGGCCCTGGTCCCGCCCCTGAGCCCGGGCCCCTGCCCCGCCCGCCCCTGAGCCCGGGCCCCTGGTCCCGCCCGCCCCTGAGCCCGGGCCCCTGGTCCCACCCGCCCCTGAGCCCGGGCCCCTGCCCCGCCCGCCCCTGAGCCCGGGCCCCTGGTCCCGCCCCTGAGCTCGGGACGGTCACCCCTGGTCACCCCTGCTCTGCCCGCCCCTGAGCCCGGCCCCTGGTCACGGGACCCAAGGTAGACCCCGCCTCTGTTCCACGCCGGGAGCCAGCCTGTCCGGCTCTCCTGTCCAGGCCCCTGCGCCCTCTCCCTCACCGAGTGTCCGACAGGAGGAGGCGGTGGGGACTCGGAGCAGGTGGGGGGGTCCTCAGTGTCGTCCTGCCCTCGGCACTGCGCCGGCCGTGGCAGTGGAGTCCTGGGCTGGGCTGAAGGGGCGTCCAGGGCAGGGCCAGCAGACCGTCCACCTGCAGCCCTGGGCGGCCTGCTGACCGCGGGGCCCACCAGGGCCTGGCTCAGGCCGGCGACCTCTCCGCAGAACGGGGTCATGTCGGGGCTGATGCAGATGCTGCTCCTGAAGGTGTCGGCCCACATCACGGAGCAGCTGGGCATGGCGCCCGGCGGCGAGTTCCGGGAAGCCTTCAAGGAGGTGGGCCTGGCTCGGGGGAGGGCTCGGGGCGGCCCCGGGGCCTGGGCTCCCCCACTAACCTCCCTCTGCCCAGGCCAGCAAGGTGCCCTTCTGCAAGTTCCACCTGGGAGACCGGCCCATCCCCGTCACCTTCAAGAGAGCCATCGCTGCCCTCTCCTTCTGGCAGAAGGTCAAGCTGGCCTGGGGCCTGTGCTTCCTGTCAGACCCCATCAGGTAGGCCTCGCCTCCTGCCAGCCCGGCCCGGTGGTGGCCAGTAGCCCGGGGCGACCCCAGAATGACCGGGGTCGGCCTACCCCACGTGCGCAGGGCCTCGTCCTGCGGCCGAGCCTCAGCTCCCAGCCCCGCCTCCGGCTGCCCCCCACCCCCACCCCCACCCCGGGCTGGCACCGCCCTCTCCCCCCAGCAAGGACGACGTGGAGCGGTGCAAGCAGAAGGACCTGCTGGAGCAGATGATGGCGGAGATGATCGGCGAGTTCCCCGACCTGCACCGCACCATCGTCTCGGAGCGCGACGTGTACCTGACATACATGCTGCGGCAGGCCGCCCGGCGCCTCGAGCTGCCCCGCGCCTCCGACGCCGAGCCCCGCCAGTGCGTGCCCTCCGTGGTGGTGGGCGTCGTGGGCATGGGCCACGTCCCCGGCATCGAGAAGAACTGGACCACGGACCTCAACATCCAGGAGATCATGACGTGAGTGCTGCCGCCGCCCTGCGCCGAGGGCTGTGGGGGGGGAGGGGGAGGGGCCGGGCGGGGCGCACACCGGAGCCAGGCCCAGCCCGCCCTCCCTCCCCAGCGTGCCGCCGCCGTCCATCTCCGGCAGAGTGTCCCGGCTGGCCGTGAAGGCCACCTTCCTGGGCCTGCTGGGCTACGGCCTGTACTGGATGGGGCGCCGCACCGCCAGCCTGGTCCTGTCGCTGCCCGCCGCCCAGTACTGCCTGCAGCGGGTGTCCTCGGCCCGGCCGGAGCCCTAGGAAGGACCAAGGAGCCACCGCAGCTGAGGGCCGCCTGCCTGCCCCCACCCACCCAGTGAAGGATCATTAACTCTGCGGAGGCTTCCCCGCTCCCCGGACGGGTCACGGCTTGTGGGCGTCGGGCCAGGGTGGGCGTGAGCTGCATCCTGCTCCCTGAGCCAGCGGCGGGCGTGGGGCCCGGCTGCCAGCCCCCTCACGTGCCTTCGCCGGCGCCAGTGGCAGGAGCAGCCGCAGGCTCTGCCCCGGCCGGGAGGCCGGGCACCCACAGCTCTGCGTCGGCTCCGGGGGCGTCGCCCCAGGGGAGCAAGGGGGCCAAACAGGAGCCGGGCGCTCGCCTGCAGAGATGGTGTGTTTTAGGCTTTTTAAATTTATGAAATTTTTTACTCAGGTAATTTTAACTTAAAAGAAAACAAACTGAAGCAAATGTCAGGAAATTCTCGCCTTAAGTCTGGTTGGGACAGAGGGTGGCTCTTCCCTGGTCTCGGTCCTGAGGGTGAGCATGGGGCAGGTTCGGCCTGGCCGTGGGCCGGACACCCTCCACCCGGGTGCAGGGTGGGAGCCCGCCGGCTGTGAGGCTGAGCCTGCTCCCTGGGCGTCTGGTGGGGCCGGGTCTCCCGGCCGCCGTGGCAGATGGTGTGTCCCCAGGGCTTGCCGGTTTGCACGCATGCCAGCAGGTGCCCCCATCCCCGCACGCCCACCTCAGTGGTACAGACAGGCTGAGCCGGCCCACCCAGCACCTCCGCCTTCGGCACCACCCGTGTGTCAGTCGATCCTGTTGTGTTTATGGCGTCGCGTCCCTGCAGCCGGTCTGGCCGCGCGTGATTGTGTCGACAGTCAGTGCTGGGTCTGGAGCCTCGGCTGCCCTGTCCTTCCTGTCCTCTCGCTTGTGTGCGTGTTCCTCAGAAACAAATAAAAGCTAATTTTTGAAGCCCCTGTTTTGTGAAACGTGTGACGACGGACTCAGGCGACCAGGGAGGGGTGCTCCCTGGCCCCGGCGGGGAGGGCCGCGGGCCCCTGCGGGGAGGGCTGCAGCGGGGAGGGCCATGGGCCCCGGCGGGGAGCGGCGGGGAGGGCCACGGGCCCCGGTGGGGAGGGCCACAGCGGGGAGGGCCACGGGCCCCGGCGGGGAGGGCCGAGGCGGGGAGCGGCGGGGAGGGCCACGGCCCCGGCGGGGAGGGCCATGGGCCCCGGCGGGGAGGGCCACGGGCCCCGGCGGGGAGGGCCACGGGCCCCGGCGGGGAGGGCCACGGGCCCCGGCGGGGAGGGCTGCAGCGGGGAGGGCTGCGGCGGGGAGGGCCATGGGCCCCGGCGGGGAGGGCCACGGGCCCCGGCGGGGAGCGGCGGGGAGGTCCATGGGGCCGTGCTAGGGAGGGGCGGTGCTGTGATGGTGGGAGGACCTGAGTCAGGGCAGGGCCAGCTCACCCTCGTCTTAAGGGACCTCCAGGTCCAAAAGAGAAGGTGCCTGAGGTGGTGTCCGTGCTGAGGAGATGAGGTACCATCTCAGGAGGAGGTCCCACCACCTGCTGGGTTCTTGGGGAGCCTGCGGGGGGCTCTGGTCCAGGCGCCCAGAGAGCACTGTGCCTTCCCGGATGCCAGCCCCTGCCCTCAGCGGCCACAGGAGAGAACTCGGATGGGTGAGCATGGGCTCCCAGAGGTGAGACCACCAGCTGGAAGGAGCCGGAACCCAGGCGTGGGGGTAGGGGGTACTGTGCGTGGATCACTTGTAAAAACCGAGAGGTTACTGCCCATGGCTGGCAGGAAGGGCTGGGCCCGGCAGCTCACCTTCATCCTCAGACCTCACACCTGGCACAGATGTCACCGAGTGGTTCACGGTCAGGAAAGACGGGGAGAAACCTAAACATCCCTCAGGGAACCCACAAAGACGCCCAGGATGCAGCCTCAAGGTGGGTGTAACCACCTCATCACACTGGGCAGGAGCTGTGAACTGTCACCTGTTGAATTTGTTGCGTTGCTAGTTTGTGTTAAATTGAGAAGAGCCGAAATCGGTTTGGCTCAGTGGTAGAGCATCGGTCTGCGGACTGAAAGGTCCCGGGTTTGATTCCACTCAAGGGCATGTACGTTGGCTGTGGTCACATCCCCAGTGGGGGATGTGCAGAAGGCGGCTGGTCGATGTTTCTCTCTCATCGACGTTTCTGGCTCTCTATCTCCCTTTCTCTCTGTAAAAAATTCAATAAAATATAAATAAATAATGGTGCCTTAAAAAAAAATTGAGAAGAAAAACAAAAGTTTCCACTTTTTCCAATAGCACTCTCCCTTCTCTTGGAGAGGAGGGCACACGGGCCAGGCTGCCGGGACCCTGGGCTCTCTGGGACGCCCATACACAGGTGGTGGGACAGCGACAACATACAGACTGGTCTTTGAGAAATGCCACAAAGACTACAAACAGTTTAAGTTACCGCAACCTTAACCCTAACCCTAACCCTATACTCTAACCATAATCCTAAACTCTAACCCTAACCCCTAACACTAAACTATAGCCCTAATCGTAAAGCTAATCTCCAACCCTAACCCTAACCTCTTACCCTAACCCTAAACTCTAACCATCACCCTAAACTCTAACCCTAACCCTAATGCTAACACTAACCCTAAACTATAACCCTAACTGTAAAGTTAACCTTTAACCTGACTCTAACCTCTTACCCTAACCCTAAAGCTAACCTCTAACCCTAAGCTCAAAATTAACCCTAGCCCTAATCCTAACCCTAACCTCTAAACCTAAATTATAACCCTAACACTAAACCTAAGCTCTAACACTAATGCTAACCCTAATCCTAATCTATAACCCCCAACCCTAACCTTAAACCCTACCCTGAATTCTAACCCTAACTTATAGCACTAACCGTAATGCAAACCTCTAACCCAGAATCTAAGTTCTAACCCTAACCCAAACCCTAAACACCAACTTTAATCTCAATCCTTACCTCTAACCCTAAATTCTAACACTAAGACTAACTTTAACCTCTAACCCTAACCCTAAACCTGAGCTCTACTCCTAACTCTAACCAAAAGCTCTAACCCTAACCCAAACCCTAAGCTATATCCCTAGACTTAACCTTTAACCCTAACCCTAACACTAAGCTCTAAACGTAACCCTGTCCTTTAACCCTAAGCTATAACACTAACACTAGGCCTAAACTCTAACCCTAAATCTAATTTCTAAGCCTAACCATAAACCTAACCCTAAACGCTAACCTCTAATTCTAAGATCTAACCCTGATCTTTAACCCTAAACTCTAGTCCTAACATTTAACCCTAACTCTAACATATAACTCTGACTCTAAACTCTAACCCTAAGCTCTAGTCCTAACATTTAACCCTATGCTCTAACCCTAAACTTTAATCCTAATCTCTAACACTATCCCTAAACTATAACCCTAGCCCTAGCATCTAACCCTAACACTAAGCTCTAAACTTATCCCTAACCTTAACCTCTAACCCTAACCCTAAATTCTAAGCCTAACCCTAATCTCTCTAATCCTAACCCTAAACTATAACTCCTACCCAAACCCTAAACTATAACCCTAACACTAACCTATATCACTAACTATAATGCTAACCTCTAACCCAGGCTCTAAGTTCTAACTCTAGCCCTAAACTCTAATCCTAAACCCAATCCTAAATTCTAACCCTAAATTCTAACCCAACCCAAACCTTAACCTAACTTCTAACCCTAACCCTAAACTCTAATCCTAATTTCTAATCCTAAAATCTAACTCTAATCCTAACCACAACCCTAAGTTCTAACCATTACCATAACCCTAACCTCTAACCTTAAACTCTAACATTACCCTAAACTCTAACTCTTGCCCCAACTCTAAGCTCTAACCTTAACTCTAACCACAACCATAATGTCTAGCTCTAAGTTCTAACCTTAACCCTAACCTTAAGCTATAGCCCTAACCATAATGATAACTTCTAACCCTGACTCTAAACTCTTAACCCTAACTCTAATGCCAATCTCTAACCCTATCCCTATCCCTAAATATAATCCTAGCACAAGCCTCTAACCCAAACCCTAAATTCTAACCCTAACCCTAACTTTTTACCCTAAACTCTAGCCCCAACCCTAACCCTAAGTCCTAACCCTAGCCCCAACCCTAACCCTAACTTCAAACCCAAGCTCTAACCCCAATGCTAACCCTACGCTATAACCCTAACTGTAATGCTAACCTATAGCCCTGACTCTAAGCTCTAGCCTTAACCCTAATCCTGACCCTGACCCCTGACCTCTAACCCTTGCAGGCCCTACCCCCCTGGGCACCTATGAGCTGTTCTCTGGGCCTGGCCGTGTCCCCCAAGTCACAAGAAACAAGAAAGCGGGGACACGCTCGTTCCTCAGAGAAGGGCTGTGCGAGGAGGCAGGGGTGACACGGGCGCCAAAGACCCACAGGCCCCCCCTGGGCAGCCCTGCTGGATCGCCCGGCGCCCTGTGCCCGCACCAGCCCCGCCGCAGCCTGAGGACCCGCAGAGGCGCAGAGCCGGACGACGTGACTAATCAGAATCCAGCTTTAGCGGGCGCGGCCCGCGCAGGCGCAGCGGCGGACACTGCCTCTCTGGCGATTGGGTGGCGAGGCGTACGGGGCGGGGCTTCCTGTCGGGGCGGAGAGGTTTCCGCCGCAGCCGCGGCACTTATGGCCTCGCTCAAAGCGGTGCTCGGGACGTCGCTCCCGGCCGCCCGCGCCGTGTGGCTGCTCTGCGGTTGCCGCCCGCTGCCCGCGCCCTGCTCCATCTCGGCCGCCGCCATGGAGCCGGCGCCCCACTGGCTGGCGGGACTGCACTTCGACAACCGCGCCCTGCGCGCGCTGCCCGTGGAGACGCCGCCGCCGGACCCCGAGGGCGCCGCGCCCGCACCGCGGCTGGTGCCCGGGTTCTGCTTCAGCCGCGTGCGGCCCGCGCCCCTGCGGCAGCCGCGCCTCGTGGCGCTGTCGGAGCCCGCGCTGGCGCTGCTGGGCCTGGGCGCGCCGCCCGCCGCCGCCGCCGCCCGCGAGGCCCGCGAGGCCGAGGCCGCCCTCTTCTTCAGCGGCAACGCGCTGCTGCCGGGCGCCGAGCCCGCCGCGCACTGCTACTGCGGCCACCAGTTCGGCCAGTTCGCGGGGCAGCTGGGCGACGGCGCCGCCATGTACCTGGGCGAGGTGTGCACGGCGGCCGGCGAGCGCTGGGAGCTGCAGCTCAAGGGCGCCGGCCCCACGCCCTTCTCCAGGTGGGCGCCCTGCAGGTGGCACGGGGGCGGACCCAGGCCCCCGGGGCTTGCCCCCTGGGTGGGCTGAGATGCCACCCCGGGACGGAGGACCCCTGGGTAGCAGCGTCCCGGAGAAGGGAACAGCTTGTGGGGAGGTCCTGGGGCCGGGACGGAGGGGCTGGCCGGCCTCCTGTCCTGCTTGCCCCGGGCCCGTCCCCTCTGGCCTTTGAGCCAGGCGGGGCGCCTGACCCCACAGCCCTGGCAGCTGCCCACTGTCTGGTCTCACAAGCCGTCCGCGGACTTTGCACGGGCACACTGTTCACCGGTGCGCAGGGAGCCTGGGCGAACTGGCCGGCATGCTCACGGCCCAGCTTCCTCTGGTGCTGGCGGCGGCCTGCTTCCTGCACCGCGCGCGCGAGCAGCTGCCTGTCCACTCACCTGCGCCCGTGCCCGCCAGAGGGACGAGATGCCTCGGATCCGCCTTCCAGGGAACAGTCCCCCAGGCACAGGCTTCTAAGCCCCGCATGCCTGGCCTGCTCTGACAGCCCCCCCAAAGGGGGCGGGGCCGGGCCGGGCCGGGGCGTGTCCTATCTGGGCAGCCGGACCCAGCAGAGCGCCTTCCCACAGCTGTCTCCAAGAACTGACCAAAAAATGAGCTGATAAGCAATTAGAGTGAGGTTAGAAGATAGAAAGTTACCGTATAAAAGCCAATTACTATATACCAGCAGTGAACAATTGGGGACTTGGGCTGAGGAACAGCATCCAAGGGGTCCTCCCTCAGGTGACGGACAGGGAGCTGCCCCTCCAGACAGTGGATGTTACTCAGCACCAAAAAGAAGTGAGCTGTGAGGGCAAGGAGAGATGTGGCGACGCCAGTGCATGTGACTGAGTGCAAGAAGCCAGTCGGAAAGGGCCACTCGGCCTGATCCCGACTCCATGATGCTCTGGAAAAGGCAGAACTGGGGACAACAGATCAGGGGGTGGGGTGGGGTTAGTAGGGGGGCGCAGGACTGTAGGGCAGTGAAATTACCTGTGACTACAGTGGGGGGTACATGTCATCATACGTTTGTCCAAACACATAGAACGTAGGACCCTGATGTAAACCCTGGACTCGAGGAGATAGGGCGGGTCAGTGTAGGGCCACCCATTGGAACAAATGTCCCCTCTGGTGAGGGTGCTGTGGGGAGGCGGTGCATGTGGGGCTGCAGGGGCTGATGAGGAATGTCTGCACCTTCCACTCAATTCTGCTATGAACCTAAAACTGTTCTGAAAAAAGTATTAAAAGAGGCTTAGTATGAAGAAAAGGTCAGAAGCATCCAAGGCAATCGAAGTCGTGTCCCACCACAAAGAGCGCTGTTGTGTTGTTTTTGTAAAATGAGTAAACGTAGAATTGCAGTCCCGAATGAGTGTGTGTGTGTGTGTGTGTGTGTGAATGAGAGATGGGGGAGGGGGGGACATGGCGGCAGGCTGGGTCCGTGTGGGTGTCGGGGCCTTCACTGCCCTTCCCCTCCAGCTCCAGGCCACGCGCTCACTCTGGCTCCAGACCTGGGACGACGTCGGGGCTGATGTTAGCCTGGCCGTGAATTGTTTTTAATGGCTGTTAGCAGGCTGTTTCCGTCCTGCGTCTGCACTGAGCCTCGTGTGGAGGGCCCCGCCAGCGCCACAGTGACCCGTGTCTGATTCCAGACAGGCTGACGGCCGCAAGGTCCTGCGCTCCAGCATCCGGGAGTTCCTGTGCAGCGAGGCCATGTTCCACCTGGGGGTGCCCACCACGCGGGCCGGCGCCTGCGTCACGTCCGAGTCCACGGTCGTGCGCGACGTGTTCTACGACGGCAACCCCAAGCACGAGCCCTGCGCAGTGGTGCTGCGGATCGCCTCCACCTTCCTCAGGTAACGCTCCCGCTGCCTGCGGCCTGGGGGACGCTCGTGCGGCTCGGACACACTGAGGGCCGGCGCCCGGGACGGCGGAAGCTGGCTGCCCGGGAAGGTCCCGGGCGTTCTCTGGGTCAGGAGCCCGTCCTGCGTGTGGACAGTCGGGCCTCCCAGATTCCTTGCCCGACACTGATGCTGCCAGAAGGGATGGGGGGGCGGAGGCCGTGGCAGCGAGTCCCAGGCGCCCCGAGCTCTGAGAGGCGGCTGGGCCCGGCGGGGGGGGGGGGGGGGGGGGGGGGGCTGTCCAAGCAGGCGTCTGAGAGGCCACGAGTCTGACCGGAGCCCGAAACGCTCCGAGAACGTGGCCGCGCGTAGTGTCGTGGTGAGTAAGGGGCTGTCACCGGCCTGACGTGCTGTGTCCCTCACACCCCTCACTCGGCAGACTCCTCTCTGGATCCGTCTCTGATAGGAGCCCGTTTGTCCGTCCAGATGGCACCGTGCTGCCTGGCGTCAAACCCAGTGTGTCAAGAGGTGGCTTTGGGGCCGAACCAACCCTGTATGTGTATATCTGGGCACCCAAGATGGCTCGGGAGTCGTCTTGGGAAGAGGGCTGACCCGGGCCCTCAGCCCCAGGGTCTCCGGGCCCCCAAGGCCCAGGGCAGGCAGACACCAGTCCCCAGAGGGAGACCCCTCGGTGGCGCCGCAGGCATTGCGACCCGTCACTGCCGTGGCAGCATCCCTGGCCTCGGCCCACCAGCTGCTGGTAGGAGCTGTCAGGACGACCACACGTCTCCGGGCACTGCACTGCCCAGGGCGCAGTGACCAGAGTGCCCGCTGCAGGGTGTCAGTCCCGCACGTCCTGGGTGTGGGCGGACGGGCACAGGGCCTCCCCACCTCCCCTCAGCGGCCGTGAGCGTGGCCAGAGGCGCCTGCTGTGCTGTGTCACTGGTTGGTGTCCGCTGTCAGCTGCGTCCGGGGGCGGGACGGGTCATGGCTAACCTGTTGAACCCCGGGCTCCCTGCAGGTTCGGGTCCTTTGAGATCTTTAAGGCCGAGGACGAGCACACTGGCCGTGCGGGCCCCAGCGTGGGCAGGAACGACATCCGTGTGCAGATGCTGGACTATGTGGTCGGCACTTTCTACCCGGAAATCCAGGCCACGCACGCCAGCGACTCCGTGCAGAGGAACGCCGCCTTCTTCCGCGAGGTGGGTCTAAGGTGCCAGGTCTGCCTGCCCTGGGCCTTGGGGGCCCGGAGACCCCGGGGCTGAGGGCCCGGGTCAGCCCTCTTCCCACCAGAAGTGGGCGCCGGCCGAGCAGGTGTTTGGGGGCTGTCCTGTGCGGTCATCGCGCCTGCTGCTGCAGCATTGTCTCCCTCAGCTCACACCTGCCGAGGGGCCGCTCTGACCGTCTGTTTGCAGCCGAGAAGGGTGCTGCCCAGTCAGTGCCTGGAGTCCTCAGCCTCCGGGGAGGGTGGCACCTGTGGGCCAGGGTCTGGACACAGGGCACTGGGGATGTCTTGTGGGGTTCCCTGCTCTCCCTGTGGCCGGCATGTCCCCACGGCTGCATGGGGTGCTGAGCAGTGGGCCTGGGGCATGAACAGCAGGGCTGGTGGCCGGACAGACCACTTGAACCTCCTTCCTGGGCAGCCCGCGGGGCCAGGCAGGCCCGGCACAGGCGCCTGGACCAGGGAGGGTTTTGCCTGACGATGTGTAACTTCCTTGTTTCCACGTGGTCTTCCCATTGGGCCCGAGCCAGGCTTCGTGTTTTTCTGGTAAAAGTCCAAGCCAGTGAGGATCTGAAAAAAGTAGATGGTGTGTGTGGGGCTAGAGCCCTCCTCACGTCTCAGGTCCTCCCTACGGCCGAGTGTTGGTCGACACGACAGGATCCGGGCCAGGGCGCCCCAGAGGAGCACAGCTGGCCCCGGGGAGGGAAGACGGGCGGGAAGGGGCTGGAGGGAGCAACCAGGCCCGTCCTGCCCCAGGTGACACGTCGCACGGCCCGGATGGTGGCTGAGTGGCAGTGTGTCGGCTTCTGCCACGGCGTGCTCAACACGGACAACATGAGCATTGTGGGGCTCACCATCGACTACGGGCCCTTTGGCTTCCTGGACAGGTGGGCACACCCCCACAGCGCCCGAATCGCTGGGCAGGGGAGGGGCCTGCAGGCCAAGCTGGTGGGAGTTCCCAGCAGTGGAGTCCCCTGGAGGGTTTCAAGCTGAGAAAAAGCATTTTAAAAGGGTGCCCCACCCTGGCAGGTCCTGAAAGGGACTGAAGGGGCCAGGCGAGGAGCAGGTGGTGAGCGGGGCAGGCAGTGCCGGCCTGGGCAGGTGCCCGGGGGCAGCGCCGAGGACGTCTTCCCTGCTGTGGAGGCGGACCTGTCGGGCTGGTGGCTGATGGTCAGCTGGCGGCAGGAGAGTGTGGAGGACTCTGCAGGGTCCTTGAGCTCAGCCCTTAGGGCCAGGACCCCTGGGGGACGGCAGGAGACAGCAGCCACATGGGCAGCACCTTCTCCCCGTGTGCAGGTACGACCCCGACCACGTGTGCAACGCCTCGGACAATGCCGGGCGCTACTCGTTCAGCAAGCAGCCCGAGGTGTGCAAGTGGAACCTGCAGAAGCTGGCCGAGGCCCTGGCGCCCGAGCTGCCCCTGGAGCAGGGCGAGGCCATCCTGGCCGAGGAGTATGACGCCGAGTTCCGCAGGCACTACCTGCACAAGATGCGCAGGAAGCTGGGCCTCGTGCAGGCCGAGCGGGAGGAGGACGCCGCGCTGGTGGCCAAGCTCCTGGAGACCATGCACCTGACCGGTGAGCAGGGCGGGCGCGCGCGTGTGGGCTCGGCATGCTGCTGTGGCCAAACAGACGTGAGGCGAAGTCCACCTCTCACCGGTCCTCGGTGTGCACGCCAGGGGCACTGGGTACATTTCACTGTGATGCAGCCATCCCTGCCATCCGTGTCCAGAACTGTCCATCTTCCCCGCTGCCCTGTGAACGGACCCCTTCGGGCCCTCGCCGAAGCTGAACCCCACAGCCCGTGTGTCCGAGCACCGGGTCCTACAGGCCCCCAGCTGCTGGAGGCGGAGGCTGCTGTGTTGTGTGCTGGGCCTGCTGTGCTCAGCACCACCAGCCTGGCTGTCCCTCTCTGCTGTGAAAACAGCCCTCCTGGTCCTGCACTTGGCAGTGGGGCCCGGGCGTGTAGGCTGGCCGTGCTCTGGCTGGAAGGGGAAGCTTCCTGTCGCCACCACAGAGCAGGCAGACTGCGCCTCCTCATGCCGCTATTTCCAGTTTGGGTGCTTTTTACCATTTTGTGTCAGTTGAGACAACCACGTGGTTTTATGCCTTCATTCATATCCTGTCTTAGTCCGTGTGATCTATAATAAATTGCCACAGCCATTCGTCTCGTTCTGGAGGCTGGAAGGCCAAGACGGAGGTGGCAGCGCAGGGGGTTATTGGTAAGGCCGCTGCTCACCCACAGAGGGTCCTCCTGGCAGAGCAGGGAGGGTGCTTTGTCTCTCCTCACACGGACAGGTCCCACAGGAGGCCCCACCTTCATGACCCGACTGCCTCCTGGCCCTCACGCTGGGGAGAGGTCACAGCCCCATGTGCTCCTGGCAGACCTGCTGGTCGTGGGCCTGGCCCTCTGAGTAGATGGGCTTGGCCTGTAGCTTTCTTTCCTTGCAGTGTCTGTGGCTTTGATGTCGAGGCAGTGCCAGCCTCACAAAGTAAATTAAGAATTGTTTCCTGATTTTCAGAAGAGTTTGAGGAGGATTGGTGATAATTCTTTAAGTATATATATATATATGTGTATATATATACTTAAAGAATTATCACCAATATATATATGTATATATATATTTTTAATATATTTTATTGATTTTGTACAGAGAGGAAGGGAGAGATAGAGAGTCATCGATCAGCTGCCTCTTGCACACCCCCCACTGGGGATATGCCCACAGCCAAGGTACATGCCCTTGACTGGAATCGAACCCGGGACCTTTCAGTCCCCAAGCTGACGCTCTATCCGTTGAGCCAAACTGGTCCCGGTTCTTTAAGTATATTTTTATTGATTTCAGAGAGGGAGAGTGAAACATCAATGACGAGCATCATTGATCAGCTGCCTCCTGCTTGCCCCCTACTGAGGATCAAGCCTGCAACGTGGGCATGTGCCCTGACAGGGAATCGAACCTGGAACCCTTCAATCTGCAGGCTGACACTCTATCCACTGAGCAACACCGGCCAGGGTGGTGGTAATTCTTTAAATGTTTGATAGAATTCACCAGTAAAGGGTCAGTGCTGGGCTTTTCTGTCTTGGGAAGTATTAGATTGGGAGTTGTTTGTATTCTCACCAGTTACAGAACTAGATGTTATTTCTTCTTGAGTCCGTTGTAGTTTGTGTGTTCCTAGGAACTTGCCCAGTTTCACCAGGTACCTGACTTATTGGCATGTAACTCTTCATGTGTTCTTAGTCTTTGGGTTCTGATTTTCGTTCTTTGTATCTTCTTTTTTTTGCCAGTGTAGTTAAGTTTATCAATTTGTTGATCTTTTCAGAGAACAATTTGTGTCATTGGTTTTTCTGTTTCATTATCTCTGTTATAATCTTTAGTTCCTTCCCTGCTGCGCACTGGTCTTGCTGTTCTTTTTCTGGTTTGTTAGGTATGATGTTAGGCAATTGATCTGAGGTCTTTAATTGGTACAGTTGACATGCCGTGTTCACTTCAGGTGTACAGCACGGTTTGGTGTTTGTGTATATTGCAATATGAGCCCAGTGACTAGGGAACAAGTGGTCACAAACTGGTTTTGTGAGGAGAGATCCGTCTTTCAAAGTTGGCATCCATGGCTCGCTCCTGTCTTTCTGCGTATTTTACCATTTCCCTTGTGATTTCTTTGGTGGGCCCTTGGATTATGTTGATTTCCACATTATTTATAATTTCCCATTTTCCTTGTTTGTGGTTTCAGCTTCATGCCTCTGTGGCTGGTGAAGATTCCAGCCAGCCCTCGTAAACGTATCAGACTTGTTTGGTGGTCTCTGTGGCCTTCGGGGGCGTGTGGCTCCCAGGAACAGTGTTGTGGCCCAGGGGGCTTACTGCCGTTCGGGTGTGGGTGCTTGAACGTCCATCTGGACGCCACACCCCTTGTTGGAAGGGGACGTGACTGCTTTCTCCCTTCAGTTGGATGGGCGTTGGCCTTGCCCATCAGGATCTCCCACGTGGTGTGCGGGTGGTCACGTGTGAGGGGCATGTGCCCATCCGAGCACATCATACAAAGCTCCTCTTTGCCCTTAGACATTTGTACTTAAACCTGTTGCGTCTGACGTCAGAGCCACCAGGCTCTAGGCTATTTGCACAGGACCTGTCCCCCACCTCCCATGCTCACCTTGATTCTAAAGTGCGTCTCAGATGGTGTAGTGGATTTGTTTTACTCCATCCTGCCAATCTCTGCTTGTTGATTGGAATTAAACTCATTTACTTTTTATGTGATTGATGAGAAGGAAGCACCCCTGGCCATTTGCTGTTTGTTGGCTGTGTCTGACACCATTTGCCCTCATTCTTTCCATTGCTGCTTCCATGTTTCGTTGATTCTTTGGTAACACTCTGAATTCATTTCCTTGTTTCCTGTGTGTGTGTGGGGGGAAGGTGTTCCATTTTTAAAATTTTTTTTGTTGATTTCAGAGAGGAAGGGAGAGGGAGAGATAGAAACATCAATGATGAGAGAATCACAGATCGGCTGCCTCCTGCAAGTCCTCCACTGGAGATCAAGCCTATAACCCATGTGCCCTGACCAGAATCAAACCTGGGACCTTGCCGAGACCGGTTTAGCTCAATGGATAAAGCGTCGGCTTGGGGACTGAAGGGACCTGGGTTCGATTCCGGTCAAGGGCATGTACCTTGGTTGCGGGCATATCCCCAGTAGGGGGTTTGCAAGAGACAACTGATCGATGACTCTCTCTCATCGATGTTTCTAACTCTCTATCTCTCTCCCTTTCTCTCTGTACAAAGTCAATAAAATATATTTTAAAAAAAACAAACAAAACCTGGGACCTTTCTGTTCACAGGCCGACGCTCTACCCACTGAGCAAACCAGCTAGGGCTGGAGGTTTTCTTAGGGGTTATGGTGACTGTGTTCTGACAGGTCAGACTGAGTCCTCTGGGCATGTTTCAGGGGTCTGGGCACACTGCAGCTCCTGAGGCCAGGAGCTTCGCTGTTGTACCCGTTTTACAGATGAAGAACCTGGGGTGGGGACCTTGAGGACTGGTCTGGTGCTGAGTTGTGGCTGAGCTGGGTAGGGGCTGAGAACACACTGGACCTGACAATGCAGTGTGGCTCCCACCGGGTAAGATGGACGTGTGTGGGTCAGCCTGTGAGCAGAGAATGCTGCAGGAGGGCAGCACAGAGCCTGGCCTCTGCCCCCCGTCCCTGAGCAGCTGTGTGTTCCAGGTGCCGACTTCACAAACACCTTCTACCTGCTGAGCTCCTTCCCAGTGGGGCCAGAGTCCCCGGGCCTGGCCGAGTTCCTGGCTGCGCTGATGGAGCAGTGTGCCTCCCTGGAGGAGCTGCGGCTTGCCTTCCGGCCCCAGATGGATCCCCGGTGGGTGCTCGGGTCTTGCTTCCTTGGAATGTGTTTAGAACAGAGCGTGAGGGGCTGCCCATCGGGGTGCTGACACAGTTGGCTGGATGCTTGGGATCCGGGCAGCTGCTCCCCTCCCAGTAATGAGTGGTGGTCAGAGGAAAGGACAGCAATACAGACGCTGGACGGGGGGCCCAGGGCCCGGACTGGGGGATGGTGGTCTCTGCTCTCCGTGGCCTCAGGCACCATCTCCCATCGGGAAGAGCACACACGTCCACGGGGTGCAGCCCACACTCAGGGCAAGACCTGGGAGGTGTGGTGGCACATTTCAATAAACAAGCCTGTAGACTGGCCAGAGGAATTTAATGCGGCCGTGCAGGGCCTCGGGACCCAGGTGGACTGCTGGCAGGACCTGCCCCTGACTTCAGTGAGCTTCTCCCAGCAGTCAGTGCTGGGTGGGGGCAGAGACGGTGCCTTGCCCACCCTAGGGCCGCCTGAGTCAGTCTGTGGCACGTCCTTGGGTGCAACTGTGTCCCATCACATGGAGGGGCTGCTGAACAGGGTGGCCCGCTGGCAGGTGCCCACAACTACCTCATCCACTGGGGCTGGGCTCCCCTTCAGTCAGGCTGTAGTGGGGTGCAGCAGGGCCGCTGAGGCCATCCCTCTGGGGCAGCCAGATGTTCAGAGTCCCAGGCTATGTGCACAGCCAGGGAGGGCGCTGCAGCCTCCTGGACACGCTCACAGCCACTCCCCACCCAGGCAGCTCTCCATGATGCTGATGCTGGCGCAGTCAAACCCGCAGCTCTTTGCGCTGATCGGCACCCGGGCCAACGTCACAAAGGAGCTGGAGCGCGTGGAGCAGCAGTCGCGGCTGGAGCAGCTGAGCCCGGCCGAGCTGCTGAGCAGGAACAGGGGCCACTGGGCGGACTGGCTCCAGGCGTACAGGTGAGCCGGCCGAGCGTGCATGACGGGCACAGTGTGCCTGCCGGGGCACCATCTCGGGGAGCCCGACGGGGGAGGTGGGAGCCGAGGCTGCTGCCAAGGTGGGCTTGTGGTTGCAGGGCCAGGCTGGAGGAGGACAGGGCGGGTGCCGCTGACCAGGGCGCCTGGCAGGCTGAGCGCACGCGTGTCATGCATGCCAACAACCCCAAGTACGTGCTGCGGAACTACATCGCGCAGAACGCCATCGAGGCTGCCGAGAACGGAGACTTCTCAGAGGCAAGGACACACCCGTCCCTCCTCCCCTGGGTCCTGCAGGAGGGGCTGGGCCAGGGAGGGAGGGTCCCCATAACCCCCCCTTGCTCCTCTCCAGGTGCGACGGGTGCTGAAGCTGCTGGAGGCCCCGTACCACAGGGAGGGGGAGGCCGCCGAGGTCCCGGAGGCCGCCGAGCCCGAGGGGGCCGGCAGCCCAGCAGAGAGGCGCCGCTCCTACAGCAGCAAGCCCCCGCTCTGGGCCGCGGAGCTGTGTGTGACGTGATCTTCGTAACCGCCTTGGTGGCCGAGGCCCCGAGGCAAGTTGACCCCGAGTCCATGAGGCGGTGCCCAGCAGCGAGCAGCCCACCCCGTCTCTCCATGACGGCAGGGACGTCCAGTCAGGACCTGACCCGTCTCTGTCTGACACCGACTCAGCAGCCCAGCACAGCAGCATGCTCCCCATGAAAAGCTGCTTCGCGCAAGGACAGGGCAGCAGAGGGGCCAGACCCAGGAGGACCCAGCAGCCACAGCCCCCATGGCAGCCTGGGAGCGCTGCAGGCCCCTGCTTCTCGGAACAGCCCCTAAATAAACAGCAGCTCCAAGGCCCATCTGTGTGTGGTCATTCTACCCAGCCCACCCCTGGGACCTGCCCCAGAGGCACCTTAACTGGCCTGCACCCAGGCGAGCAGCTAGGCGTCCTGGTAGTAGTTGTTGAAGTTGATGCGCAGCAGGAAGTCCTCCAGGTGGGGCTGGTATCCTCTGTTCACCAGCTTGGTCACCACTGGGGGGAGCAGTGAGTAGATGGGTGGGAAGGACAGTGAGTAGATGGGGGCCCTCCCTGGGCCCTGCCCTTCTGCCCCGATGCCGACGGCAGCCCACCTGCCAGTGCAGATGGCTCACCTTTGAAAAGGAAGTGGGAGTAGTACTTGAAGGTGTTGTAGGACTGCTGCATGAGAGCAAAGTTGGGGTGCTCGGCGCCGTGGGGGCCGCCGGCTGGGCCCCAGGGCTGGGAGATGAGCTGGCTGCGGAACTTAAGGACCAAGCTGAAGACGCTGTGGATGATGTTCATGACGGGAGCCGCCTTCTCTGTCAGCAGGCCCCTGGGGAGCAAGGGCGATGCCGGTGGGTGGGGTGATGCCCTCAGGGTAACCCTGATGCCCCCCCCCCCCCCCGCGTGTCCCCGCCCCGTGCCTGAGCCTCCCCTGAAGACCGGCTGGGCCCGCGCCCCCGTGCCTGAGCCTCACCGGAAGACGGCCTTGTGCAGGTACTCGGCGTGGGCGCGCTGGATCTCCTCGAGGTCCCCCACTGTGGCCAGCCGGGCCCGGAACTCACACCAGGTGACATGCAGGATCTGGTTGGCGATGTAGCCCTGGATGACCTTCACAAAGTGCTGCATCTCGTGTTTGAAGAGCTGCAGCTGCCGGAACTGCACGGAGCCAGCTGCGGGGCTCACGAGAGCTGTGCAGGGGGATGAACAGCTGCTGCACGGCCAACGCCCCAAGCTGAGGGCATGGGCGTGGGCGTGGGCAGGCCTCACCTGTGCGCTTCAGGTGAAAACAGACGTCCTTGAGCGTCCACATCATGAGCTTCAGCTGCAGCAGGAAGGAGAAGATGCCGCTGTACCTGCTCAGGCAGCTCTCGGTGATGACGATGTTGAGGGGCCAGTCAACCTGCAGGGCGTTGGTTCAGCACTCCTAGAGGGCCAGACCAGCCCAGCCGAGCCCACCCACACCTCCAGCTCTGCTGACCTTGTACCTGAGCTCCAGGCAGCTCAGCACGTCCGGAGCGTTGGGGACGAAGGCCTCCGGCAGGAACTTGAGGGCGAAGGAGAGGTTGGCGGCGAGCGGGGAGTCGCCGTGCAAGCTGTACTGCAGCGCCTTGCGCAGCACCGCGTTGAGCACCAGCGGGTTGAGGAGCTCCCCGGGCGTCTGCCCTGCGCCCAGCTGCAGGAGAGGAAGAAGGTCCCGAGGCCGTCCAGTCCAGCAGCCGCTGCCGCCCCCACCGCCCCAGGCCCACCTTCTCAAAGAGCAAGTCGCTCAGGGACTGCGCGAACTCGCCGTCCTCCATCAGCAGGAAGTGCCGCAGCGCCTCGAAGTGCGCCTCCAGCTGCAGCTCCACGAAGAAGTAGTCCACGGCAGCCTTGTTCACCAGGGACACGCTGCGGAGGGGCTGGGTCAGGCAGGTGTGCGGGGCAAGTGGAGGAGGCGGGGCCAGGAGGCGGGCGGGCACTCACTGGGCGGCCAGCGGCGCAGTGACCGAGTGCTTCATGAGCACAGGCAGCGGCAGCAGCTCGCTCAGCTGCACGGCGGTCTCCTCCGTGGTCTCCTCCGTGTCCGACGGGCCCCGGTTGTCCTCAGGGAGGGAGAAGGCCCGGGGAAGCCCGTGATGTAGGAGGCGTGCCACCGGAGGCTCTGCTGCAGGGACGGCACAGCTCATGTCGCCAGGGGCGCCTCCCGGTGCCCGCCCCCTCGCCCCCATGTGCTCACGCACACATGGCCTCGTAGCTGTCCGGGTACTGCTCCAGGTGGTACTGCTCCACCAGGCCTGCCAGGTAGGCCTGCTCCCTGTCCTGGCGCCTGTCTTCCATCTCCTCTTCCAGGCCCGGGCTGCTTGGGGTGGCTGCGCATTCCTAAGACAGCCCAGCGTCACAACCATGCCCCTTCCCTTTGCCCAAAAGAGAAGGGCAGGTGGCTCAGTGCCCAGCAGAGCATGCCCCCACCCTCCTCGGCCTGACCTGGGAGCCTGCAGGCTGACTGGAAGAGCTGTCCTCAGTGTCCCCGCTCCTCCCTGGGCCTGAGTGGCACAAAAGGGCCGGGAGGGGGGTCAGGGGCACGTGCCTGCGGTGGGGCAGCACCTCCCAAGCCCCCAGGACAGCGACTTCTCACCCTTCCTCCTCCCCCTCCTGGACCACCACCACCAGTGACAAGACAGCTGTCCACTGACCTGGCTCACAGGTGCTGCCTCCCACAGCACTGGGTCCCGCCTCAGCACCCGGCAGGGCCTGGAGGCCACCTTCTTCCCCAGAGCCACCCACCGGCGTGCAGGAGCTGGCCACGGCCGGTTCTGCCAACAGCTGTGAACCGTGTTCCCAGGTAGGGCTCTGGGTGCCCAGGCTGAGGCCTGGCTGGGACATGTGGTCGGGGGAGCTCTGAAGGGGCCTGGGTGTATCATGCTGGGTTTCCCCCGGGGGTGCTCCCAGCAGCACGTGGGACTGAGATACGTGTCCGTGGACGTTCCAGCGTGGCCGGGAGGGTGCCACGTCCCACATGTTCTCCCCGACCTTGATGCTGGCATCAGACACGTGTCCGTGGACGTTCCAGCGTGGCCGGGAGGGTGCCACGTCCCACACGTTCTCCCCCACCTTGATGCTGGCATCAGACACGTGTCCGTGGACATTCCACCGTGGCCGGGAGGGTGCCACGTCCCACACGTTCTCCCCCACCTTGATGCTGGCATCAGACACGTGTCCATGGACGTTCCACCGTGGCCGGGAGGGTGCCACGTCCCACACGTTCTCTCCCACCTTGATGCTGGCATCAGACACGTGTCCGTGGGCGTTCCAGCGTGGCCTGGAGGATGCCACGTCCCACACGTTCTCCCCCACCTTGATGCTGGCATCAGACACGTGTCCGTGGACGTTCCAGTGTGGCCGGGAGGGGGCCGTTCCATGAGTATAACTCCCTGTGAGACTACTACCCTCAGACACATGCCCAAGAGGCTGTCCCATGGCCTGGCTACTCCCCTCCTGGGGGAGGCTATTCCTGGGTGGGCATGGGTGAGGCAGAGCCACCTGCCCATCCGGGACACTGGTGTCCAGCGTACACACGTGAGTGTCTCCCCACAGCTGCGGCCCCTCGCAGCCTAAGCTGCCTCCCATAGTCTGGAGGGACCCTGGGGCCGAGGTGACCAGAGCTGGCCTCAGGACAGTTCTGAAATCGTACTCCTGTGGCCCAGAGCAGCCTGTGCCCGCTGTGGCTGATGACTCAGAGGCACGCAAATCTGAGCCGATGGTCTGCAGGGCCTCCTCCAAGACAGGGGCCACCCCAGTGTCCTCAGGCTGCTCAGCAGCCGGGCCCGCGGGCAGGAAATCTTGGATACTGAGGCCTGCAGAGAACAGCCCCGGCCCCTGGGCCTGCCCTGGCTGCAGGCCTGCTCCCAGCTCTGAGCCGCTGCAGGCCCCCAGTGCTGGGGGTGTGGGGGGCTGCGGCGTCAGCTCCCTTGGCTGGCCTGGGCCATCCCAGGCAGCCACGTGCTGCTCTGCAGACCCAGAATCACAGCTGCCACCTCCATCAGGGTGCCCAGGGCCCAGAGACGAGGCCTGAAACAAAGAGCATGTTGGACCCCTGGTTACCTGGCTTTATCCCCAAAGTCAGTTGTGGGGACTGTGAGGACACAGGACAGGCACCACTGTGTTCCAGGGCAGCACAGGCCTGGGACCCAGCTCAGAGCCCCACGCGGCATCCCCGGATGCAGCCTGGCCCCTCACCTGGGAGCATGCACTGGGGCGCACTGCCGGCGGCTCTGGGGGCCTCCCTTCGGACGCGTCTCTCAGCATGGCCTGGAATTCAATTACAGGGCGAGGTGGCGGCTGCACAGAGAGCAGACCCCACCCTCCGCCCGGAGCCACCCGGCCCGGAGCCTCTGCGCCCACCAGCCCCACTGCAGCAGCACCGAGACCACAGGCTGTGCCCTCGGCCTATAGACAGCCCGCACGGCCCCACACAGCACGTCCGGGAACTGAGGGAGTTACCGTCCCTTCCCCAGGGCACACGGGGTCCTGGGGCCTCAGGCCCAGAAAGAGGGCCCCTGACACACCTGAATGTGCTCCTCATCTTCTAAGAGAAAGCGAGCTCGTGTGCTCGCAAGCCTGTGCCTCTGGATCTTCCACAGCGCCTTCTGCTCCCGACGGGCTGCCTCTGCAGACAACTTGCTATAATGGTCAACCAGCGCCTGCCTGAAGCCACATCCAGAGAGGACAGGTCACCAGTCACCCCACACTGTCCAGCTGGCTCCCCTTGGGGACAGTTCTCCACGACAGAGGCCCCGGCAGGTGGTCTGCACAGCCTGGCACCTCCCCAGGCCCCAGGTGGACCCTCTGCACCCACAGCTCCTGCAGGGGCCTCACCAGGCTAGCTGCTCTGCCCACAGGGCAGGCCCCCGGCCAGGGCCCGCTCACGCCTGCTGATGACCACCAGAATGCGCCTCTGCACCGTCTGAGGCAGGGGCCCTCTGGGGCAGCCTCCTTCCTCAGCTGCACAGGACGGAAGGAGAACAGCTTCTACCCACACGCACATACCCACACACGTGCACATACACAGACGTGTGCGTACATCACTCGGGCTTCAGGGCTCAGCTCTACAAACAGTATCTGAGATCAGGCCACCAAGGCCATGAGCAGGAAGGGACAGCCCCTCCTACGAAGAACCCCCTGAGAGGCCACTCTGCTCCCAGCTCTCCCCTGGGCGTGGGGGACTCAGAACCCCCGGAGGGTGGGACGAGTCTGACACAGTGAGAGCCCGACTGTCGGATGCTGTGCTGGACAAACACCCAACTCTTTCAGGCTAGCAGGCTTCACGTTAAATGAACAGGAGCTGTTTAACTCCAGAGGCGAGAGGCGGGGTGTGCAGATCTGCCTGGACTCCAACCCACACACCCACCAGCACATCCTGATGGCTGAGGACACACGGATGTGCTCATGTCTACATCCACGAGCACCGAGGCCAAGTGGTGCTTGGAGTCAAGACAAGACTTGAAAGTTTTCCAAATAAAAAGTGAAACCACCATCACCAAGATCAAACCTGTCATGGGGCCTGCCGTGCCCTCACCGCGGAGGATCAGCCGGAGTGACCACCCGCAGCCACCCACCTCGCCTTCCTCTCCAGCTGCTCCTCCAGGGCCTGCAGCCTCCGCTCCCGGGCCCGGAACTCTCGGGCGTAGCTGAAGTCATCATCCAGCTCCTCCTGCCGGGCTGCCCGGCGTCGCTGCAGGACAAACCACAGGCAGCCTCAATGCTAAACCCAGCTCTGCAAGCCGCCCCCACCCCAGCACCCACAGCCTGCCCACCTCCTGGTCCTTCACAAACTGCTCCTTCAGCCTCTGAAACTGCTCTCGCTTCCGGGCGTCCAAGGCCATCCGTTCCGACATCTGCCGGTCTGCAGGAGACACAAGCGCCGTCCTGAGGAGCCCCCACAGGCCACAGCCAGCATCCCAGAGAGGGACCCGGAGCCGACACGCACCGCTCAGCGCACTCAGGACCCTGGACGCCGCTTCTCGGGCCTGGACGATTAACTCCTGCTTCGCAATCTCCATTCGCAATTCCTGGAAAAGACGGGCGGTGAACCCAGCCACCTCTCTGCCCGCCTCTGGGCTGGAGGACCTGCAACAGGCTGCTCAGACCCCAGGTGGACCCCCCGCAGGGACCGCGCCCTGCCCCCCACCCCCTGCCCGCCCTAAACAGTGACATCAGACACAGGGCCCTGCACAGGAGCTGAGCTGTCGCCAGGTGTGTGTGTGTGAGCTCAGGAGTGACATCCCTTCAGGGACAGAGGGCCAGCGCCCAGCCAGCTCCCAGAGAAGAGGGGACAGAATCCCTGCCCTTGGATGCCCGACCCAGACACACACCTAGGACCGAGACCGCTGCACCGTCTTGCACACCCCAAACCCAGCACCCCTGGGAGCGGAGGAGGGAGTGAGGGAAGCCCCCGGGGCTATGGTCCTTGAACCTTCTCCTCCTTGCTGATGGAGCTGTGGCGCGCCACCCTCTCCATCCGCCCCACGTAGATGGCACAGTCCTTCTCAATCTCCTTCAGCTCCTCAAGGCTGAAAATCACCGAGATCCGGGGCACGGGGACGTCAGACCAGCAGAGATAATGCTGCAACAGAGGGGCCCACACCCAGCTCTGCTTCCGTGCTGCCGGTCACCTCATGGGCAGCCCACTCCTTCACAAGGGGACAGCACCCTCCACGGCTCCGAGCTCACACCTGGCCGTCTGCCCTGGTCCTCCACCCCCACTGACCCTGGTCAGCCTCCACACAGTTCTGGTCCCTGGAAGCCCTAGGCCCACCTGGCCAGCGCCTGCCTCTGCTCAGACAGCAGACTGCTCCTCAAAAAGGCTGCCCCAGCCTTGGCCACGTGGACGCTGGCACAGGCCTCTGTCCAAGCCTGTGCCCAGACACAGCTCCCTGAACCAGCCTGTCCATTTTCCTGCAGATGCAGGCCCTCCCCACCGAGGGGCCGCTCTCCCGAGGGGGAGGGGAGGGCTGCCCCTCGGCCTCAGGACGCCTCTGCTTTCCCTCCATCTGAGTGTGAGCCGGAGGCAGGAGCCCTCATCAAACTCAGGGGCCCTGAGGGAGAAGTCACCACGTCCCAGCTCCAACGTGCTGGCCCAGCGGCAAGAACCGATGGCCTGGTGTTGGGGGGGACCTCACTCTGAGGCCAGAGGACGAGGCAGGCGAGGAGCAGAGGGGGTGCGTGGCTCCTCACTCACCCGGGGGCAGCAGAGCTTCAGCAGGTTGATGGTCTTCCCGCAGACGTACACGTCATGGGCGATGTGCTTCAGGAAGGCGGGCACACAGTCCTCGGCCTCCTTGGAGAGGAGCACGTGGCCGTGGGTCCAGTAGGACTTGTCTGAGCGTGGGACAGGACACGCTGGGCTGCGTCCAGGACCCCTGACCCCGGACAGCACGGAGCCCAGCCCACAGCCAGCCACCACCTACCTCTGAAGCCCAGGTAGTCGTGGTTCACCTGGATCATGAACTCGCCGTACACGTCTCTGAAGACCCCACTGTACACCCAGTCGTAGATGAACCTGCCAGGGTGGGGCCAGCAGTGAGATGGGCGGGGCGGCCACAGGGTGGAGCCTGTGCAAGGAGCCCGTCCCAGCCCTGAGGATGCCGCACCCTCCCCATCGGACATCCCTGCACTCAGCAGGTGTGTGTGTGTGTGGGGGAGGGTCCCCAAGGGAATTCAGCTCAAGCACCTGCAGAGACAGAGTGCAGCCCGCCCACCCCGGCCCCACCCCGGGCCCCACCCCGGCCCCACCCCGAGCCCCTCGCCCACCGGGTGTAGGGCTCGCAGCTAGTCTTGAGCAGCGACAGCAGCACCGGGTAGTGCTCGTTGCTGCAGTTGTCCAGGGCCTCCTGGTAGAGGTAGGAGAGCAGCTTCACGCCCTGGAGACCGCAGAGGGCGGGGCTGAGCGCATGCGACAGCAGAGGGGACAGGCTGCCCACGGCAGTCACACTCGGCCTCGCCCCCTTTCCTGGGTCCCACACAGCTCACCGTGGGGAAGGGAGCCCGGGCCTCTCCTCCGCAGGTGCCCACACCACAGAGCTCAGCCAGGTACCTAGGCAGGCCAGGGAGAGCGGGTGCTCAGAGCCCAGGCCGGGGAGAGCGGGTGCTCAGAGCCCAGGTCAGGGGAGAGCGGGTGCTCAGAGCCCAGGTCAGGGGAGAGCGGGTGCTCAGAGCCCAGGCCAGGGAGAGCGGGTGCTCAGAGCCCAGGTCAGGGGAGAGCGGGTGCTCAGAGCCCAGGCCAGGGGAGAGCAGGTACTCAGAGCCCAGGCCAGGGAGAGCGGGTGCTCAGAGCCCAGGCCGGGGAGAGCGGGTGCTCAGAGCCCAGGCCGGGGAGAGCGGGTGCTCAGAGCCCAGGCCAGGGAGAGCGGGTGAGCAGAATATGGCCCAGCCCTTCCCTCCACCTTCACCCTCTGGCTCTAACACCAGCTGCCCCCAAGCATCTCCACCCTGAGCGCCCTGCTGGGTTCCTCTGCAGGCACCCCTGCCTCTCCCCCTCCTCCCACTCAGCCAGGGCCTCCACCACTGAGTGTGCCCTTTCCCCGCACCCGGGCTCAGCCCCGAGCCCCCCTGGGCTCCCGCCACCTCCCAGGCTGCCGCCCTCACCCTCTCCACCACGGCCGTGCACATGCAGCCCGGCACCCCCACTGCCTCCCTGACGGCCCATGTCCAGCCCTCAGAGGCCTCCACCCTCCACCCCTCGGCCCGAAAGGCCTGCTCTCCCCGAACCCTCTTCTCCAGCGGCACCTGCGGACATCGCTCGCCGGGTTAGCGAACTGGCTCCTGAGGGCCAGGGCCCAGCTCTGTGGGGCTGTGTGTGCCTTCAGGCAGAGCCCCCACATGGTGGCCGAGCCCTCTCCCAGCACCGGGACCTTTTCAAGCCAACATCACAGGCCCAGGCCCAGCACCTGATGAACTCACTGCCCAGACGGCTCTCAGGAGGCTGTTCTCCAGGCCCGGCCGCCCCCACCACCCCCGAGGCTGCTGTGCTGTGCTCACCTGAGCTGCCGGCCCAGCTTCTTGAAGAGAAAGCCAATGGTGAGGAGGCTCAGAGTGGGCGGGGTGGAGAGCACACACGCCCGGTAATACTGCAGGTACCGCCTCAGGCCGCTGGTGAAGGCCTAGGGGACAGGGGACTGAGAGGAGGCAGTGGGCGCAGACACCGCCGCGCTCAGAGCTGGAAAGGGTCACTGGGGCTAGGAAAGGCCTCGGCTGCCATCCCTAATCCTGGGCTCTTTTCCCAAGGAATGTGCACCTGTGGGTCCCACCCAGGCACCCCCAGTCCAACTGGGAGCTAGGAACGAGCCCTCTGCAGATTCTGTCCCTGCAGCCGGGACCAGCCACACCAGGAAAATGGGCAGTGAGGCCTGGAGGTCCTGAGGGTGGCAGGCACTGACACAGGCTACGGCTGAGGTCTCAGTAACAATGGGCCCCAGCTCAGCTCACGTCTCTGCAGGAGCCGCCAGAACCAGCGTCCACCCCACCAGCGAGGAGACGGCAGGGCTGCCCTCACGTCCCTGATGGCGGGCAGTCTGCCTGGGCCAGTTTCCTTCTGTCCCCTACCCCCACCCCTTTTCCACACCACCTGACCCTCCCCCCTTGGCAGTACCAAAGCATGAAGGACTCGCAGCCCAGTGCCGCTGGGCATGGTGCCCTGCCCCCTCTGCCTTCTTCCCGATCAGTGCTCGCAGATGCCCCGCTCAGCTATTTGCCTGTCCCTCCCATGGAGCTGCACACTGTCCTGGGGGCTGTACCCAGCGCAGGGGCAGTGGGAAGGCTTTTGGGGAGACCTGGTCCAGCCCCGGCTCCTGGAACTCAACTCGATTGCATAAGATGCACCAGGACCCGGTGGGGAACAGCAGCCTGTGCCCACCCCCCCGCATGGTCCTGCCCCAGGCCCCCCACATGTGGGCCACACCCACCTCCCACTATCCCAGCCCCCCGTCAAGTGACGACGAGACACCTGTTCCTGAAGGGTAACGGTCAGCTCCAGGCATTACGGGAGACAAGGCTCAGTGGCAGGCAGGCCCTGGGCCTGCTCCCCGCTCCTGGGCGCAGCGCCAGGGAGGCCGCGCCCTCCCAGGAGGCCGGCCTACCTGGAACACGAGGCCCTTGCTGCAGGAGGCGTCCAGCACGGGCTGCAGGGAGAAGTGGCTCAGGCGGGCGTAGTGGGTCCCGCACACGGCCACCTCCGAGAGGAGGCTGCTGATGCTCTCCGGCGACGTTCCCGACACGTGGGTGCCCTGCTTCACCCCGAAGGCCTGAGCCGGCTGGAGAGGGCAAAGGGGTCACTGAGGCCTGACGTTCAAGACCCCTACCCATGTACCCAACCACACTCTGTCCACAGAGCCCAAGACACAGAGCAAAAAACATCCGGATTTTTGGGTGCCAAAAGAAGAGAGGACAGGATATTGAAGGCCTATTTGAAGAAATAATAACAGAAAACTTTCCCTACCTAGTGAAAGAACTAGACTTACAAGTTCAGGAAGTGCACAGAACCCCAAGCAAGAGGAATCCAAAAAGGACCACACCAAGACACATCATAATTAAAATTCCAAGGGAAAAAAAAAAAAAAAGAATCTTGAAAGCAGCAAGAGAAAAACAGTTAGTTACCTACAAGGGAGCACCCATACGACTGTCAGCTGATTTCTCAACAGAAGCCATGCAGGCCAGAAGGGAGTGGCAAAAAATATTCAAAGTGATGAACAGCAAGAACCTACAACCAAGATGACTCTACCCAGCAAAGCTATCATTCAGAATTGAAGGTCAGATAAAGAACTTCACAGACAAGAAAAAGCTAAAGGAGTTCATCACCACCAAACCAGGATTACGTGAAATGCTGAAGGGTATTCTTTAAGAAGAGGAAGAAGGAGAAAAAGGTAAATGTAAAAATTACGGACAACAAAAAGACATCAAATACATACCTACCAACAAGTGAATCTAACAATCAAGTGAATAAAAAGTCTGAAGAACAGAATGGACTGGTGAATATAATAGAATCAGGGACACGGAAAGGGAGTGGACTGACAATTCTCAGGGGGAAAGGGTTGTGAGTGGTTCGGGAAGAGACTGGACAAAAATCTTATACCTATGGATGAAGACAGTGGCAAGGGTAAGGGCATGGGGTGGGGTGAGGTATCAGGTGGAGGGGAACTATGGGGGGAGGAGGGGAAGAAGAGCACCTGTAATAATATGAACAATAAAGATTTATTATAAAGATAAATAAATAATAATAATAAAATAAAGTATTATGGGGGAAGTGGGAGGATGAGACAAGGACAATGCTTGCCCTGGCTGGTGTGGTTCAGTAGGTAGAGTGTTGGCTGTGGACTGAAGGATCCCGGGTTCAATTCCAACCTTGGCTGCAGGCTCAATACCCAGTAGGGAGCATACAGGAGGCAGCTGACCAATAATTCTCATCATTGACATTTCTCTCTCTCCCTCTTCCTTTCTCTCTGAAAAAAAAAAAAAAAGATGGTGCGCCAGGATGAAGGAATGAAGGAATGCCAGGACAGTTCCAGGGGAATCAGTCACTGTAACACACAGCCAGAGAAGGAATGAGAGCACCAAGCACCTTACTCTTGTTTGGTTTGTAAAGGTCATTAATAAAGGCACAGTTTCTAGGACTGAAATGAGAATGCATCACTGCCATTGCCTCAGAGCCGGCCCCCAGGCCCAGCGGCCTCCTCCTATCCTGTGGAGTGCTCGGGCAGTGACCACGTGCCAGCACCCCCTTACCTGGCAGAGGGGAAACGTGGCCGACATGACCCCAATCAAGACATTCAGCACGTCCTTCACCAGCTCGCACTCTGGCACCAGCAGGGGCGGCGCGGCCGGCGGGCCCCCGCCCAGCGCCTGCAGCTCCCCGCAGCACAGCCTGCAGAAGCTGTCGAAGGCGTCCCTTCCCGCCTCCGTGAGGTAGGGCTCTTCTCTGTGGCCAGGCGGGCTGTGGAGACAGAGCCACAGGCATCTCAGCTACACAAAAGGCAGGAGAAAGTGACTCAATACAACCCAACGTCTAAGAAACAGAGTGGGCGTGTGTCCGACCAGCCCCCAGCCTCGCAGTCAGCTCTGTGGGCTCAGCCCCGGCTGCGCTGGGTCAGACAATCCACAGAGACCCACCCCCAAGCACCCACCGGGCCCACGCGATGGTTCTCAGGGTGACCGACACGCACGTATGTTCATCTTAAAAACAAGCACGAGGCTTACACACCCGTGTGCACAGCAGCACATTCACAACAGCCCGGAGATGGAAGCAGCCTGTGTGTCTGCCTGTCGACTGGTGCGTGGATTAAAAGCACAAAGGCCTAGAGCACATGTGTCAAACACAAGGCCCGCGGGCCAAATCCGTCCCGCCAGGCCTTGCAATGTGGCCCGCACCGCGCTGTCATCGCTGCACTCCGCTGCGTTTCCATCACAATGACAGTTTATAACTGTTCAGTAAACCATTCGGCCCGAGATTTAGGCTGGATTTTAGATTTTGGCCCCTTCTCTGATTGAGTTCGACACCCCTAGCCTAGAGCATTCAGCCTTCAAAAGGAAGGACACTCGGGACCTGCTACAATAGGTCCTTGATGAAGCTTATGCTCAGTGAAATAAGCCAGACAAGGAAGGACTGCAGACTCCACGTAGAGGCCCCTAGATCGGCAGATTCAGAGAGTAGGGGGTGGTGCAGGGGCTGGGGGAGGAATGGGAGTGTTTCATGGGGACAGAGTTTCAATTTGGAAGACGGAAAGTTCTGAAGATGGTGGTGGTGGTGCCTGCACAGCAATGTGAATGTACTTAATGCCACTGAGCAGCTGTATACTTAAAAACGGCAAGAGTGTGCATCTTACACAAACGATGGACAGAGCAGTCTCATGAGTTTTTAATTTTTATGTCAGAGAGGGAGAAGAAGAGGGAGATAGAAACATCAATGATGAGAGAGAATCACTGATCGGCTGACTCCTGCACGCCCCTTACTGGGATCCAGCCCACAACCCAGTCCTGTGCCCTGACAGGGAATCAAACTGTGACCTCCTGATTCACAGGTCAACACTCGACCACTGAGCCAGACAGGCTGGGCCAGCACAAAGCAGACACACTGGGTCTTGAGTGCGGCTCCGGGCACTGGGCTCTGGGCACCACCAGGGCTTTGCCTCACCCAGTCACATCGTTCAAAATCAGCCAAAAACATGGTACATTTAAAAACCTTCCTTTGAAAACCACCAACATCTACTGAAAAGTATAAAAACACTGTCTTTTAAAACCCCTGGGGAAAGTAATTTCTTAGTGAACAGAGGCCAGGAACACAGGCCTTTCTGAGACTTTTCTTCTCGTTTGTACTATCTGACCAGCTCTTTCTCCTCTTCCCAAAAGAGCCTGGGGTTCAGGTCTAGCAACTCAACGGGCTCCAAGCTGCTGGACATTCTAACGTTGACGGGTGTCGGACCCCAGGACATGTTCACCTCCACGTCGGGCGTGGAAGATACAAGAATACGTTTCAGCTGGGACCGGTTTGGCTCAATGGATAGAGCATCGGCTTGGGGACTGAAGGGTCCCGGGTTCGATTCCGGTCAAGGGCATGTACCTTGGTTGCGGGCATATCCCCAATAGGGGGTGTGCAAGAGGCAGCTGATCGATGACTCTCTCTCATCGATGTTTCTAACTCTCTATCTCTCTCCCTTCCTCTCTGTACAAAATCAATAAAATATATTAAAAAAAAAAAAAAAAAGGAATACGTTTCAGAATCGTTCAAATCACGGTGTTTTAACTGACAGTGCCGTCATGGGCTCTCCCATCACTCAGGACTCTGAGGGCTCCTGCAGGACTCTCCTGCCCGCTCCTGCAGGCTCGCCCCAGCACCCCTGTGCCCTCAGACCAGGACTCAGAGCCGAGGGAGAAAAGCCCAGGCAGGAAACTCTAAGGTCCTGCCCCCCAGAGGACTCGCCCCGACAGAAGGAAATGGCTTCCCCAGAACCGCGGCACCTGTGGAGTCTCGGGAGACACAGGTGGGCCTGCCGCAGGCCCAGGCAGGGGCGGCTACAGCCCAGCCGGGCCGGCAGCCAGCTCTGCTTCTGGTGGGAAAAAGCTTCCCCAAAGGCCCACGGCAGGAACCAGGGGGCTGGGGTTTAAATGGAAACAGGTTCTAATGACTCAGCAAGTAACCCTGCGTGCGAGGCCTCCTCCCGCTCCGGGAGGTTTCCAGACACAAGGCCGTGGCAGAGGGGCCCCCTGGCCCCGGCTGAGTGACCAAGGAAACACCGCCACCGCCACCACAGCGGCCAGCCGGAGAACAGCGCTCCCATCCTTCTCGACGACGGACAGCAATGGGCACGGTGAAAGCTCCCTCTCAGCACCCAGGCCTGACCGCACCCTGCAGCCGACCTCCACTCCTCAGCCCGGAACCTCGTGGTGCGAACGTGGCTCTGCGCCGGCCGAAAAGTGTGACCTGCAGGCGCTGGCCCACGGGAACCTCCGTGAAGCCGAAGTCCTTGCCTCCGCCCAGCATCCCTCAACGCCCAGAACAGAGAATTTTGTGCACCAACCACGACTGACATCCCAGGTCCCCAATCCTGTCAGCGGCTTCTGCCAGCAGCCCCCCCGGCTCTCCGGGTAACGCACTCACGGCCGGGGAGGGCAGTGCGGCGAGGGCCTAGGCGCACGTACCAGCCGACCTGTTCCCAGCACCGCCGCCTGCTGGCCTCGTAGGTGAGCACCGCGTCCCATGGGTCGATCTCCGGGGTCGTGCCGTGCTCAGACTGGGAGTCGGGAGTCAAATTGGATGCCGACTGGAACCCTTCGTCTTCGGACGGATCCACGCTCTGAGGCACCTGGAGGCCAGCCGAGGAGAAGACACCACGTGTGCCTTTGGCCTAAGCTTTCCCCGTGACGGGAATTCCAGGCCTTCACACGTTTACTCACACGGGAAAGACCTGACGGTGTTTCCTGTTTCTTTCTTTCTTTTTTAATATATATTTTTATTAATTTCAGAGAGGAAGAGATAGAAACATCAGTGATGAGAGGAAACCACTGCTGCCTCCTGCAAGCTCCCCCCGCCACCCCCCCAGTCCCCACTGGAGACCCAACTCGCAACCCGGACATGCATCCTTGACTGGAATCGAACCGGGGACTCTTGAGTCTGCAGGTGGACGCTCTATACACTGAGCCTAACTGGCTAGGGCTCCTGTTTCTCTTGAGCACGTATGCACTACAGTGCTTCTGCCTCCATTAAATAACTTAAGAAGGCTCTCAATTTCCAATTTCCCTCAACACGTAAGCCTCCATATAACTCACAATGAAAAGCAACCACTCTGGAAATTCCAATTTGGGGAAACCAGCATGAAATCATGCGAGCAACACAAAGATGTACGTGGACCAAGGTGTTCAGCATTGGGTGTGTTTGCAGATGGCCTGTCTCGCAGTGCGAGATCGAGTGAGCAGTGACAGTGCATCTCTTCTTTCGGGAGCGCTCACAGAACCACTAAACGCACAGTCCAACGTGCATGAAAAGCCACGTCACAGGGGGAGAAGCATGTAGAACTGCACGTATAGTACGAGCAAACATCTGCCACGTGTGGCTACTGAGCACTTGAAGTGTGGCTTATGTGACTGAGGGACTGGACTTGTTACTGCACTTTAATTAACTCACGTTTAAGCAGCACCTCTAGAGAACTAGGACTTAACAACACACCCTGTCAGGCCAACCATGAAAAGCAGCATTTGGCCGAAACTGGTTTGGCGAACTGGGCGAGCATCGGCCTGCGGACTGAAAGGTCCGGGTTCGATTCCGGCCAAGGGCATGTGCCTTGGTTGCAGGCACATCCCCAATAGGGGGTGTGCAAGAGGCAGCTGATCGATGTTTCTCTCTCAAGGATGTTTCTAACTCTCTATCCCTCTCTCTTCCTCGCTGTAAAAAAAAATCAATAAAAAAAGCAGCATTTGCCTGGCTTACAGCTGGGCAGCGGCGTCCCCGCCCAGGTGGTGGGTACCAGTGGCCCCACCTCGCCACAGCTCAGCCTCCCAGTGGCCTGGACTCCGGAGCTTCCCATGGCAAGAGGCAGGAGCTGCGCTTACCTTGATGGCCAGCCCAGAGAGGCCTGCGCTGTCCGGCACGGGGGGCAAGTCCAGCCGGACATCCATGTCGTAGGTGCGGCTGTGCACGAGGGCTCCGAACAGCGAGACGCGGGTGTCTCTCTCGAACCTGTCACCACAAGGGTCTCCGTAGGAGAAGAGCCGGGCCGTGGGCAGGCCGGTGCCCGGCGTCGCCTCCATCACCTGAAGCGCTTTCTGGATCATGTCCTGGCACAAGTACTCCTCTCTGGAGATCAGCGACTGCACGTCCATCTCAAACACGCTCAGGTCGTAGCAGTCGTAGCCGCCGTAGGGCACGTTCCTCCCCACGTGCTTGTTGTTCAGGAAGTAGTCCCGCCGGCGGGGCAGTGGCTGCGGGGGCCCGGTGCCCGCCAGCCGGACCAGCAGGTCCAGGGCTGAGTCCAGCTCCGCCAGCGGGCAGCCAGGGGCCGCCTCGAGCTGCTCCACCAGCGCCTCCAGGCGGTCGGCCTCGGGCCCCAGGCCGCCCACGCGCAGGTCAAATGACAGCATGAGGATCTTGTTCTTCACCGGGAGCCTCGAGGGGTCGGGCGGCCGCCCCGGAGGCTCCTCCTGGAAGAGGTGCGTGAAGAGGGCGTTGTAGGCCACCCGCTTGAGGCTCTGCTTCGCCCGCCGGCGGCTCGGGCCGCGCTGGCCCAGGTGAGCCCTGGCCGCCGGCAGGAGGGCCTCGCACAGGTCGTCGAACAGCTGGGTGATGCTGGCCATGCCCACCCCGCCGGCTCCCGGGCCTGACAGCCGCGGGGCGGGGCCGGCGGGGTCCGCGGCGGCCCTGTCCTCCCTGCCGGGCACCAGCGCGGCCCGGCAGCCCGCAGCCCGCAGCCCCCTCTGAACCGTGACAAGCCGACGGGGACGCGGGCGGGCGGCACACGGAGGACACGGGAGGGTCCTCGGGGTCAGCCCCGCACGGCCGTCACGCACCAGGCCGGAGCAGAAACGCGCGCGCCTCTGCAACTCCCGCCGCCGCGCGTCACCGCCGCGCGACCCGCAAACCCGCCTGGCTGGCGCACCGGAAGTGCGTCACGAGAGGGCGGAACCGCTGGTTATAGAGCACTTCCGGCTTGGAGCGGCGTTCCGCGGGTGGGGAAACTGATGCCAGGTTCTGCGGACACAATAACGGAGGCGGAGGCGGACTTTCGCTTAACTGTTTACTGACCGGCGTGCAGGGAGCCTGGGCGGGGCCCCCGTGGGGAGGCGAGTGCGGAGGGCCCTGGGCGCCGCAGCCCCCTGAGCCCGCAGCCCCGGGCAGCCGGGTGCTGCTGAACGTTTCACCCCCGGCTCTTTGGGGGCTGTTTTGCAGCGTCATTGCTCGGTATACATACTCCCACCCTGGCCGGTTTCAAGCCGCAGGGTCCCAGCACTCAGGCAGGAGCTGCGAAGAGGCGCGTGATCACCAGGGCTGTGCCAGTTCCAAGACGGGAACCCCTCGCCCCCAAGAGCCCTCTCCCCACGGAGCTCTGAACCAGGACGGTCCCCAGGGCCCCAAGCACTGGGCCTGACCTTGCTCCCAGTCTCACCCGCCACCTGCAGCAGCTTCCACTGCGGCTCCAGCTGCCCTCGCAGGCGCACCAGGGCCCGCGTGTCTTCTGGGGAGGCCATGCCTAAGGGGCCCAGGCCGGGGGGTGCCTCTCCATGCAGCACCTGGGCCAGGATGCCTACAAGCTGTGGGGTGGATCCCTGGGCCAAGGGCGGAGAGGAGAGCTGTGAGTCACCGGCCTCTCCCTCATTCCCACCCCACGGCACATCTGCTCTGCTCAGCTCACCTCATCCACAAGGGCCAGGACCCGGCACCCCGCTGGGACCCTCAACAGTGAGGCCAGGAGTGCAGCTTGGGGGGCCCGCAGGCCATGGTCCGGCCCCAGAGCCAGCAGCACCAGGTCAGGCCAGAAGCTGTAGGCCAGGGGCAGCACCAGGGCCAGGAGGAAGTTCAGGAACCCGCCAGCTGTCTGTGGAGGAACAGACTGCGTGACCCCATCCCCTCATCCAGGGGACACCCCTCCTGCCATCAGGATGTCGGGAAGGGTCGGTGAAGGCCAGGGGCCTGGCCCTTATGGTGATACCAGTCAGCAGCCATGCCTGGCCCCAGGACACCACCACTTACCCCTGGCAGTGGCATGGAGACGTGGAACATGGACAGGGCGGCTGCCTCCTTGCCCCTGATACTCAGCCACAGAGTCGTCCTTTCAGGGGAGAGTGGTCACATGGACTTGTGTGTGTGTGTGTGTGTGTGTGTGTGTGTGTGATGCACTCACCCTCTAGAGCCCGGACGACAGGCGAGGTGCAGGAGAGTTCAGGGATGGGTGCTGAAAGTGCTGACCCTGTGCTGGAGACCCTCCTGGCCTTGCTCCCAGGGCCCACCCACCAATCTCTCCTGGGGACTCAGTGACATGCCCACCCCCATGCAGGAACCCAGGGGGCATACCCATGGTCTGCCAGGTGTGAGGGTCGGTCCAGCTGTCCCACGGCCACACAGAGAAGCCTGGAGGAGGAGTTGGTCCCACACAGGCTGTTCTCACCCACCGGCAGTCCATTCCCGAGCCCTCCCACTGTGGCTGCCGGGGCAGGGGTACCCAGGAACCACGCCCTCAGAGACCGAGGCCAGCCCGCCAAGACGCTCACCTCTGAGCCCCCCGGGAAAGGCTGCGCCGAACAGCCACATCCAGAGTGGCAGCTGCGGCAGAGGCCGGGGCGGCTGTGATGCCGCTGCTCACCTGCGAGGTGAGAGACAGCCCTGGAGAGCAACCCCCAAACCAGCAGTCAGACCCATCCGTCCTTCTCTCTGTCCCGGTCTCCATGGCTGTCATCTGGACACTCTGAGGTCAAACTGCTCCACTTCGGAAAATGAGGTGCTTAAAGCTGCCCTCTACGTCACCGCCTTCCCCTCTCAGCCAAAGAGCTCTTAGCAGTGGGGACGGAGGGCGCGCCCGTCACCCTCTCCCCAGGGGCTCTTCTGGGAGGGGTCCTGGGCACAAGGCAACACTCACACCCACAGGTCCGCACCCCCCAGCCCTCCCCTGGTCCTGGGCCCTGCCCCAGCCCCTCCAGGTGCCCCCACCTTCCCATCCAAGATCCTATCCAAAAGGTACAGGAGCTTCCCAAGGGCGCTGGTGGTCTCGTCCGTGGCCAGGGCCTCATGTAGGCTGTGGTAGAAAAACCGAGGAAAACCGACACAGGGCGACACAGATCACAGGTGAGTCCACAAGGGTGCATGGCGGACACAGCCTCACCCGTCTGCCCAGGCCCACTCTGCCCACCTGGCCCAGGACTGTGTCTCCTCCTCCGGGGCGGGCCCCTCCTGATGGGGGATGTCAGGGGGCAGGACCGGAGCAGCGTCCAGTGAAGTCAGAGCCACAGCGGTGCACACAGGGGGCATGGGGCGGAGGTGCAGCCCGTCCAGGAGGGCGCTCGGGGCCGCTGCAGCCTGGGATCCGGGCCCCTCAGACAGCAGAGGCGAGGGCCTCTCTGGGGAGCGGGTGCTGGGGCTCAGGACGGGGGCCGAGTCTAGGGGTCGTTGAGAGTCACAGCCATTCGTGAAAGCCCGGGGCGCAAGCCCACCACCCGGCCCAGGCCACACCGACCTTGCTGCTGGAGGCTCGTCCAGTGAGGGGCCTGGGCTGCCCGGACACTCTGGATGGACTCCAGGGCGCTGCAGGGAGACAGGTGTGGTGAGACCTGGCCTTGCGCCCCCAGCCTTCCCGCCTCCCTGCAGCCCCTCGCACCTGCGGTGTGGCACCATGGGCCCTGACAGGGGCGGGGCGGGGTCGCCCAGCAGGGCCTGCACTGTCATGCACACAGACTCAGAGAGCGACTCCAGGTTGTAGCCACCCTGGAGGGAGAGAGGAGGGCAGAGGTGTCACCGGGGCAGAAGGCCCCTCCGACGGCACCTCGGCCCTCGGTCCCTGGACCCTCCCTGCCGGCCACAGTCACCTCCAGCATGGCGCAGACCCGGCCCCCGGCCAGCGCCTGCAGCAGCTGCGTGAGGTGGGCGAAGCACTCCGGCGTGGCCTGCATCTGCCCCTGGAACCAGAGCCGGGTAAGGTGGGGGCTGGCCACGGACACCACAAGCCCCCCAGGACAGGACAGGCCCTCACCTCAGGGTCCCCGATCGCTGAGTCAAACCCTGCGGAGACCAGCACCAGCTCCGGATCAAACTGCAGGCAGGCCGAGGGGGAGGGAGTGAAGGAGGCCCATGAGAGAGCCCTCCCCCCACAGGATTTGTTCTTCTCCGATGGGGTGGGAGGGGGGACACCCCCACATAGTCACCTCAAACGCCAGGGGGAGCAGCACGTGCAGGAAGGCGGCCAGGTAGTCGGCATTTCCCATCCCAACCTGCAGCCATGAGGGTCAGGGTTGGGCCCAGAAGGGCGAGTTGTGGGGTCTCCCCAATCATGTCTGGGCTCAGGGGGTGACTCTGGAAGGGCACCCTGAACTACACTCAGGAGGCCTATTGGGGAGGGGGGATCTGGGTGGGAGGTGGTGTGTCGGAACCCACCCATTGTCCTCTGATGGAGACATTGGTAGCTGAAGCAACTCCCACCTGTCAATCTTAGTAAACCCTTGCTGATTGGCTCCTATTGGAATTGCCTGCATCTATGGGCGGATCCCAAAGTCTTAATAAAAGGGATAAGCAAGGCGGGGCGGTGTGTAGTCTTCCCCCTAGAGATGGGTTCCCTCCTAGCCCCCAATTAATACTTTTCTAGTCTCTCATTTGTGTGCGGCCTCCTCCAGAACCCTGAGCCACGCAGGACGCGAAGGGGTTCCCGCAGTGGGGGGTGGGGGGTGGGGGGTGAAGGTGGCACCTGGTTCCAGGGCAGGTTGACAGTGAAGCCGCGGCCTGGCCCCTGGCCCACGGCCGACGCGTCGGACTCCGGCAGGTAAGGCCAGAAGCGCCCGTGCTCGTAGCGGTGCCAGGAGAAGTAAAGGACGCTGTGGGTGACCGCCGGGGTCAGAGTTCAGAGGTGACCCTCAGCCCCACAGCTCCCCGCAGAGCTCTGACCCCGGAGCACTCAGCTGGGTCACCGGCTAGGACTCTCCCAGGCCAGGCCGTGAGCCCCAAGAGTGGGGTCCCAGGGAAGGGTTCCTTTCCGTCCCAGCCCAGCTCACCTGGGGTCGTCCTCAAAGGTGTACTGGATGCCCTGGCCGTGGTGGATGTCCCAGTCCACGATGAGGATCCTGCGGAAGAGGGCACTGGGCTCACCACGGCCAGGCCTCCCCTCCAGGCCAGGAGCCCCGCCAAGCTGGGAGGGGGCAGGGGCAGGGGTGGGGGGACCCCGCCTGCGGCCGGCCCAGCACGCACCTGCGCAGCCCGTGCGTCTGCTGGGCGTGCCTGGCCGCGATGGCCACGTTGTTGAACACGCAGAACCCGTTGGCGGCAGCCCGCTGGCTGTGGTGCCCGGGAGGCCTGAGGGTGAAGGAGCACGGGCCCCGTCAGTCACCCTCTGCCCACGCGTGGGGGCAGCCAGGGGAGGGGGCGGCTCTCAGGCTCTCACCTCACCAGGGCGAGCCCGTTCCGCACCGCTCCGGTCAGCACGGCGTCCACCAGCTGCAGCCCGGCCCCCGCGGCCAGCCGGGCGCTGTGGAAGGTGCTCTGGGGGCAGAGGTGCAGGTGAGTCCTCACCGGCTACCCCTCACCCTCTGCCCACATCGGTGCCAGGCTGCAGGGCACCGGGTGCTGAACGGAATGGGTCAGGATAGTCCCAGGTGCCATCTGCAAGGTGTGGGCACGTCCGTGAACACAGGACTTGGGCCAGGTTGGCAGCCACGGGCACAGGCATGGGCACGGGCATGGGGGTGGTGGGTGGGGCCCCAGGGCACAAACCGGATGGAAGTAGACGGCATCGAACTGCCCAGACAGCGCCTGGAGCTCCTCCGTTCCCAGGGCCTGAGTCCCCCGCAGCAGGGCCACGTACTCCGGGCTGCAGAGGGGCAGGGAGGCCAGCAGAAATGGAGTGGGGAGGAGAAAAAGGGGCTGGACCCTGAGGGGCCGCCTCCCTCACACCCACCAGATTGAGAAACGGAGGCACTGTGAGTCCTGGCAGCTGGGTGGGCTCGGGTGTGGCTGAGGGGGTCCCACCTGTGCACCAGGCCCAGCTCTGCCTCCGAGGCCTCTCGGGCTGCCACCCGCAGGCACCTCTGCTCCAGGCCCCGCTGCCGCAGGAGCCCCAGGGCGGAGGTCAGGCGCTCCGGACGCTCGATGGCACACTCGGGGCTGTGTGGACACAGGGCTCAGACTCCAGTCTCTACCCCGCCGCCACCACCCCCCCTGGGCCAGGTGACACTCACTCCTCCCACAGCAGCCTGGGCGCCGTCATGTCCTCGTGGTACACCAGGGCGGTCCGCATGGCCCCGCCGGGCGGGAGGGCCCAGCGGCCTCGCTGGAGGTGCCTGCACTGCCCTCCCCGCCGGGCAGCCCGGAGCAGCGCCGCGCGGGGCGGGCGCGGCCGGGCCGCGAGTGGCGGGACGCTGCGCCCGGCGGGAAAGGGGCCGCAGGCTGTGCTCGGAGGGACGGAGAGAGCGAGGTCCACGGGGCGGCCCCTGGGCCCGGCTTCCGGCTCCTCGGCCCGCCCCTGCCCCGGCCCGGCTCCGCCTCCTCCCCGGGGCTGGAGACCGAGGGCCTGCGGTAGAGCAGGTGCCCGGACCCGGTGTCTCCCGGCCCCGCCTGCCCGCAGCCCGGGCTCCGGGGAGCGCGGGGAAGGAGGCGGGGCCGGGGCCTCCGGAGCCAGGCGGGCAGGAGGGCGCTGTCCGGACCGGTCGGGGAGAGGGCTGGGCGCGGCCTGAGCTGCCCCGGCGCCGCGCTGCCCGGGTTTAGGACCGGGGACAGGGGTCTGGCCGTGTGTCTCGGCTGGTTGGAGCGTCGCTGGTTCCATTTCCCACCAGCACCTGCCCGGGCTGCGGGTTTGATCCCTGGTCCGGTATGTGCAGGAGGCAGCCGATGGCTGTGTCTCTCCCTCCCCTGCTCTCTCTAAAATCACTGTTATTATTATTATTATTATTATTATTATTATTATTATTATTTGTTTTAATAAGCCCACCGGTCAGGCTCAATAGATTGAGCATGGACCCGTGCACGGAGGCGGGTTTGGGACGCCATCCCCAGCTCCTCTCGCATCGACGTTGCTATCTCTCCCTCTCAATAAAAATCAATAAAAACATTTTTTTTAAAAAGTGACAGGATCCAGGAAGGCCCCTGTGAAGAGCGGACCAGTCGGAAGGTCAGGGCAGTGGTCGGGAAGCTGGACCCAGGATGCGGGAGGTGGGGCCCCGAAAGGCGGGTGAAGCGGGAGGACCGGGCGAGGGGTGAGGCGGCAAAGGAGGCGGCACAGCCGCCGAGCACGAGGGCCAGACCGGAAGCCACGGCGCCGCGGGCCTGGAACTCGGGAGCTCCGGACCCGACCGGGCCGGTCTCTAGGAGGCGGGGCCTGGGTCTGGGAGGCGGGGCCTGGGTCTGGGAGGCGGGGCGTGGGCGGGATCACGGGGCTGGTGCCCAGGAGGAAAGGCCATGGGGCGGGTGTCTGGGGGCGTGGTCACGGGCGGGGCTGTGGGGGCGGGGCTGTAGGAGGCGATGTGTGGGCGGGGCCTGAGGCGGGTGTCTGGGGCGTGGTCATGGGCCGGGCTCTGGGGGCGGGGCTCTATGAGGGGCGGCCATGGGGCGGGGCTCTGGGGGCGGTGGGGCGGGGCTCTGGGAGCGGTGGGCGGGGCCAGGGGCAGGGTGTAGGTGGTGAGGCGTGGGCGGGGCCTGCGGCGGGGCGGGAATCTGGGCGCTGGGACCCGGGGCCCTGGAGCAGGACTGCGCCCTGTCCTGTTCCTCAGTTGCCCCGTCATTGCGGGGTTCTGGGGAGACTCCAGTTGGGTCACTTGAGGTCAGGCGCCCGCCAGTTACCGCGGCCAGGGAATGGCGTGCTCTGATTGGCCACCCCGCGACACGTGGCCACGAAGGGCCCGTGGGCGGGGAGGACCCTGTTTGGATTCCAGAGAGAGGAGGGTCCCAAAGGCGCGGAGGCCTCGGGTCCGAGGGGCCGGTGTCCGCTGTGGGAACTCAAAGGACCGCCTTTGGCTGGACCCCCTGCGCGTGCGCCCAGCCCGACCCCGGCCGGAGACCCGCCCGGCCCGCCCGCTCCGCTCTGGGCCGCCTGCGCCGCGGGCAGGTCGGGGCGCCTGGGAAGTCAGGACCCCGGGGGCTCCGATCCGGAGGCGGTGCTCGCAGACGGCACGCGGCCGGCAGAGGGCGCCCCGGGCTTGGCGATGGTGCTGGGACGTGGCCGTGGGCGGGGCTGGAGGGTCTCCGGAGACACTGGGATGGCAGTTCCTCACTGGGAACCTGGCCTTGGAGGGCGCAGGGCGCATGGACCCTAACCACAACCCCACTCCCATCAGGCTGCCCCAGGGTCAGGCTCCGGAGTCCACGCCAGGAGAAAAAGGTCTTCACCCCAAAAGGGAGAAGCTGCCCCAGTGTGGGGGCTCTGGCCCGGGCTCCCCGGCACAGAGCAGGGGAAGTGGGCACCAGCTCTGTGGCCTGGGAACGAGCCTCCTTCCTCTGCCAGGCGGCAGCTCAGAGGCCGGAGGCGGAGGCCCCGCCGAGGAATCAGGAAGTGAAGCCACAGCGGGAACTCTACAAAAGGGTTTATTTCCTCCCAGCCCCGTGGGCACCACAGGGACAGTGTACATTCCAGCTGGGCTTGCAAGATCGTCCCTGAGTCAGCGCCTGCGCCCTTCCTGTCCTTCCTCCCAGCCCTGAACCAGGCCTCGCCGACCAATCAGGCAGGGCCCGAGGCCAGGCTGCACCCCACGCCCCGCCCCGCCCCCAGGCTCTGCGGCTTCCTGTGCACCCAGCTCAGGGACCACTGCGGAGCCAGCCCCAGGTCAGGAGGGTGTCCCTGCAGGAAGTCTACATGCTCCTCCAGGTTGAGGCCGAGCCGGGGACCTGGGAGCAGGGCCGCAAGCCTGGAGGATGGAGCGCATGGAAGGAGGTGTCTCCTGGGATGCAAGCTCCAGCCGAGGTCACAGGATTTCCCCCCTTCCGGGCGGAAGTGCCGGCCAGGGTCCCCGAGACGTCCGGCCACGCCCTCCGGGCCGGGGGTCCTCACAGGGATGTCTCCTTGGAGAACTTGGCCGCCAGCTGCCGGGGAGGCCTGAAGCTGAGCACCTCTTTGTACGTGTCACCTGGGGTGGGGCGAGAGCGGGAGAGATGGAGAGTCAGGGAGAAGGAGCCCAGTCACCCATCAGAATCAACACACACACATCCTATCTGATAAAGAGGGAATATGCTAATTGCCCATCACTCCGTCACAAAAATGGCTGCACCCACGGCTGAGGCCAAGTTCCCTTAAGGAGGGTTAATGAGCAATCAGCAGGCACCTGAGGCCATGCCCTCCTCCGCCCCCATGGGGCTTGACAGGGAATCTCAGGCCACGCCCCTCCCACCCCCACCCAGCAGGGCTTGACTGGTGACCTCAGGCATGTCCCCCCATCCTGGCACCCGGCCAGGGGACCTGAGGCTATGCCCCCTGCCCAGTGGGGCTTGACAAGGGTGGACTGACCAGGTCTGGATCTAACCCAGTGGGGGGGAGGCAGCCAGGTCTGGGTCTCGCTCGATTTTGAGGTGCATGTGGGTAGATGGGGACTTGACTCTGGGTCCCCCTTTTAATGTGCACGAATTTCGTGCACCAGGCCACTAGTACTAGATAAATAGAATCAACCCCCACGGTTCACGCCACTTCGGACACCAACGACCCAAGGTAAGTGCTGGGCCCAGCCCCCGGTGCTCACGCTGAGCAGCAGTGAGTCCAAGGAGTGTCCACTCAGGGTGGGGTGGGGAGAGCTCCCGGCCCACACCGCTGACTCAGAGCACCGATGCCCCCAAACATCAGGGTCACAGGTCATGGCTGGGGTGTGGGGGCCGGGTGGGCTTCTCCGTCCCAAACCCATACTTCGTCCCAGGCCACAGCGCTGTCAGGCCACCCGATTTGTCCTCAGTGACTCTCCACCCTGAGGGGCTCCTGGAATGCAAGACTGCGGCCCCTGGCGTGGCCAGGTGGGCTGGGGCCCCACGGCCTGCCTCTACGAGCAGGGACATCCCAGGAACGCAAACCTCGTCCCGTCAGGCAAGTGGCAGATTCTCTGGAGCAAGTGTCCCTCCTGAGGCTTACATGAGAGGACGAACCTCCAACTACCTCACCAGGTGGCCGTGTTCCCTGAACTGTGTGCCTGCGGTCAGCCCTCCAAAGGGGAGGTGGAAAGAAAAAAGAAAGAAAAACAAACAACAACAAAAAACAAAGATGGTGTGTGTAGGGGGCCTGCTCTGCTCGCCTCTGGCCAGTCTGCAAATGGACAGGGTCTGCCCAACTGGGTGTAGCTCAGCAGTTGAGCATCTACCCAGGAACCAAGAGGTCACGGGTTCGATTCCCCGTCAGGGCATATTGCCTAGGTTTCGGGCTCAGTTCCCAGTGGGGGGCGTGCAGGAGTCAGCCGATCAGTGATTCTCTCTCATCACTGATGTTTTTATCTCTTTCTCCCTCTCCCTTCCTCTCTGAAATGAATAAAAATATATTTTAAAAAATAAAAATAAAAAATAGGTTCTGCTCAGCCTGCCCCGGCCGTTCACTCTCCCCTGGCTGAGGGAGTGCCAGCCTGGGGGACACGGGCACGTCACAAGCCCAATCAGAACGCGTTGCCCTTAGCGGGGGCCTGGGAGGCGCCCCCTCCCCGCCTGAGGCAGGGCTGCCCACACGGCAAAGGTCGTGTGAAGAGGCCACGGCTGCTGCGTGGGCCTTTTCCCCGGGGAAACAGGAAGTGATGAGGGTTTGCATCCTGACCCAGGGCTCGGCCACAAGAAAGGCCACGTGTCCACCATGGTCTGTGTGGGCGGGGACCACAGGGAGGATCCAGCGGCTGGCGGTTTTCAGATCTTTTTTTAGCAACAGAAAACTCACCAAACCGAACCAAATGCATAAGCACAAAGCACAGCACAGACAAGGGTGGCGTCCCTGCTGGAGGCACCAAGGAACCCAGGGGGTCCTACGGAACGTAGTTTGGGAACTGCAGCCCCACTCCTGCCCCCTAGAGCAGGGCTAAGGCCCTGGGTCCGAGGCAAAGCCAGGATGGGGCCTGGCACACCGAGGCAGCCGTGAACCATGGGGGCAGAGTGCTAACAGCTGCTCCCACACATCCCTGCACCCAGGCTGGCCCTGCAACCACACAGACAGAAGACCCGCCCTCGCGGCCTGCCCTTCCGCAGTGCAGACGGACAAGGCCAGTCCCAGCGCGGGCATCAGGACCACAGCAGAGGGAGGCCTGGGGACTGAGGCTGAGCAGGGCTAGTGTGACCTTCAGAAGCGAGGGGAAGGGCCCTCGGTGGAAGGGGGTGCCCAGTGCAAAGCCTGAAGGTACAGGCAGCCCTAGGGAGGGGTGGGAACTGCTCAGGGGGGCTGTAGGAAGCAGGCAAGGAGGGGTGAGGGGCTTTGGCTGGCTGGGGGGCCGGTCCCACTGGCAGGAAATGAGGGGCATGCAGTTATCCAGGTGAAAAGGATCATGAAAGGGGCAAGGACAAGTTCAAGAGGCATGAGCACCCTGGCCAGTGTGGCTCAGTGGTTGAACATCAACCTGGGAACCAGGAGGTCATGACTAAGGGCTTGATCTCCAGCAGGAGGCGTGTGGGAGGCATCAATAGGTGATTCTCATCCTTGATGTTTCTCTCTCTCTCCCTCTCCCTTCCTCTTTGAAATCAATAAAAATATTGAAAGAGCCCTGGCCAGTATGGCTCAGTGGATAGAGTGTCAGCCTGCAGACTCAAGGGTCCCAGGTTCGATTCCAGTCAAGGGCATATACCTTGGTTGTGGGCACATCCCCAGTGGGGGTGTGCAGGAGACAGCTGATCCATGTTTCTCATTGATGTTTCTATCTCTCCCTCTTCCTTCCTCTCTGTAAAAAAAAAAAAAAAAAAAAAAAAAATCAGTAAAAAATATATATGTGGGGTTTTTTAAATTGAAAAATACTAGAAGAAAAATAAGAGATGTGAGCAGAGGCCTGGAGACTGGGCGTGTGGGGGCGCAGGGTGGCCCGGGTCTGTGGCCTGCAGGCGGGAAGCGCTCACACTGCCCTGAGCTTGGCGCTGCCCCTGTGTGGGGTCCGTGCTCCCGTGGGTGCCGAGCCCCTTAGTCCTTCTGCATCCAGAGGTCAGGTTGGCCAGGACGCCCTCTGACCTCCTGGGAACCCAGGACCGGCGCCCGGCCCCACTCACGCTTCCACTCGTCCAGTGTGCGGTCCACGTCGTCGAAGGACTCGTCGTACTTCTGGGCCCGGGGCTCGTCCTCGGCCTCGTGCAGCGACTCGAAGTACGGGTGGGTCAGCGCCTCGGCCGCCGTCACCCGCTGCTCCGCGTCCAGCACCAGCATCTTCTCCAGCAGGTTCACGGCTGTGGGGCGGGCCGTCAGGCTGGGCAGCCGAGACACACACACACACACACACACACGCACGCACACGTGCACATGCACACACACACACACACACAAGCACGCAGGCACGCGCACAAGCACACATACACACTCGCACACGTGCACATGCACACACACACGCACAAGCACGCAGGCACACACACAAGCACACATACACACTCGCACACACATACATGCGTGCACACACGTGCACACGTGCACATGCATACACACATGCACATGCACACGCACGCACAAGCATGCATGCACGCACACAAACACACATACACACATGCACACACATGTGCGCTCGCACACTCACACCGCGTACACACACATGCACACACGCACACATACACACACTCGCACACACACATACATGCACACACATTCGCACGCACACTCGCACGCACACGCACACGTGCACATGCACACACACACGCACAAGCACGCAGGCACGCACACAAGCACACATACACACACATACACACACTCGCGCGCACACATACATGCACACACATACACACGCACACTCACACACACACACGTGCACACACATGCACACACGCACACATGCACACATACACACTCGCGCACACACACATACATGCACACTCACACGCGCACACACGCGCACACACGTGCACACACATGCACACGCCTCGGGTCACGGACCCCTGCTCCCCCGAGGCCCACCCTACCCAGAGGGCTGGCGTTGGTCAGAATGGAAGCAAAATCCTTCTTCTCCAGCTCGGGGAGGCCCTTCATGTAGTTCTTGGCCTGTGTGGGCGGCAAGGGTGAGGGCCCAGCTCCCGGGGGGCATCCCCCAGCCCCCCAGCCCCGCCCAGCTCCCCACTGACGTCCGCGCTCTGCAGCCTCTGCACAAACTCATCGGGTGGCGTGCCCGTGACCTTCAAGATCTCCTTCAGCTGGTCCAGGTCTCGGCCGAGCTCAGGAGCACCGTGTGGGCCAGAGAGCAGGGCTCCCCGTCCTCCCTCCCCCACCCCACCCCACCCCAGTGGGACAGTGCCAGCCCCTCCCCCAAACCCCCCCACTTCTCGCCCACCCAGCCCCATGGGTGTAGGATACGGTCATTGCCCTTGAACAGCGTCTTCCCCGTGATCATCTCGGCCATGATGCAGCCCACAGACCAGATGTCCACTGAGAAAGAAGCCCCTCATCAGGGCTGTGAGACAGGGGGGTGGGGGAGGGACGCACAGCGGGGCCCATGGACACGGGGGCCATCTGGCCGGCCACACCCTCCTGGCTCCATCCCAGCTCAGCAGCATGGGCGGGGGGGGGGGGGGGCGGCGGGGGGTCCAGCCGGGAGGTGAGGCTGCAGTGGCCCCGTCCGGGCGCCTCTCACCTGTCTGTGTGTAGTGCATCCAATTCAAGATGACCTCAGGTGCCCGGTACCACCGAGTCACCACGTACCCCGTCATCTCGCTGTCCGCCTGCCTGGCCAGCCCAAAGTCCAGGATCTGCAGCCAGAATCAGGGGCCCCAGGAGGGAGTGGGCCAGCCTGTGGGCCTGGGGGTCCCGAGGGGCTGGGGACTCTGGGCTCCTGCCCACCCTCCAGGGCCTGAGGTCACAGCCACAGACCCTCCAGCCTCCCCTGGGCCCTCCCCCCGGCCGGTGCACTCAGAGCTCATCCCCCACCCTCAGGACCAGACACCAAGCGTCTCCTCTCCCTGTTCCTCCACTCCCCGCCCCCTGGATCCTGGCCGGCACCTTTGGGAGGGTCTTGTTTTTGTTTTTTTTAATTGATTTCAGAGAGAAGAAAGGAGAGGGATAGAGAGAAAGAAACATCTGACGAGAGAGAGCCACATGCCCCCACACTGGAGATGGAGCCTGCAACCCAAGGACATGCCCTGACCCGGAATCGAACCGCGACCTTCTAACTGAGCCACACCAGCTGGGCTGGGAAGGTCTCTTAGGCCCTGCCCTAGCTCAGGAAGGAGGAGCCACTACCTGCCCCCCTCACCACCTCAAGCAGAGTGAGCCCATCTGGCCACCAGCGGCCTGGCACCGCCTCAGGCTGATCCCACTGCCTGGCGGGGGCCAGCCTGCCTCCTGGTCTGGGGACGAGGGCGTGGCAGGAAGACGGGCAGGCGGGAGGGAGCCGGAGCCCAAACGGGACACGTACCTTCAGCTCACAGTCCTCGTTCACGGCCAGGTTGCCGGGCTTCAGGTCCTGGGGTGGAGAAAGGTGGGCAGGGGCAGGGGCCAGGGCAGGAGCCGGGGCGGGGGGGAGGCCTGGGCGGAGCTGCCCAGGCCCCGGGCTGTGTGCAGACTGTACAACACCCTCTGACCCCACAGTGCCCCCACAGGCGAGAAACAGGCTCCTAGCCCCGTGGTCGGCAAACTGCGGCTCTCAAGCCACATGCGGCTCTTTGGCCCCTTGAGCGTGGCTCTTTCACAAAATACCACGGCCTGGGCGAGTCTGTGTTGAAGAAGTGGCGTTAGAAGAAGTTCAAGTTTAAAAAATGTGGCTCTCCGAAGGAATCTCAGTCGTTGTGCTGTTGATGTTTGGCTCTGTGGACTGATGAGTTTGCCGACCACTGTCCTAGGGGTGGATCCCCGCCAATGCCCGCTGCAGGGGAGCTCCCCCCGCCCCCCAGACTCACCCTGTGAATGATGCCGGCAGCGTGGATGTACTGCGGGAACAGAGAGGCCCAGGTCAGCCGTGTGGCTCCCAGCCCTCGCCGCCCGGGCCGGCCAGGCGACGGCCCGCCTGGCCCACAGGCCTCACCTTCAGCCCCTTCAGCATCTGGTAGACGAGGAACTGGACGCGGTCCTCGCTCAGCGTCTCGTGCTTCATGAGCTTCCCCAGGTCCGTGCCCATGAACGGCATCACCAGGTAGCTGAGGGTGGGGCAGGCTCAGACCCGGGAAGACCCCAGGCCCGGCCTCCAAGCACCTACTGCCCCTCCAGCCACCACCCCGGAATGCTAGGGGGCAGGGACGGTGCCAGGCCAGGGGCTGGGACCCCACGCCCACAGGCAGGGGAGGGAGGGCCCGCGGGGGTGGCGGGAAAGCGGGACACCGGGTCTGAGGGTGGGGTGGAGGGGGACGGAGCGGGAGACATTTAGCTCCCGGCCAGTGTGGGGCCTTGACCTCTGCAAGGTCAGGCGGCAGGAGCCGGTCCTCCCAGCCCGTCCCCGGCCAGGCCCCTGGCTCCAGGCCCACGCAGTGTGAGCCCAGGGCTGCTGCCCAGACAGCCACCGCGCCGCCCCGCCCCCTCCCCCGCCCGGAAAGGTCAGCAGCTTCAGTTATGGCCACACTCCGGGTGCCAGGGCCCAGGGGCCAGGTCCTGCCTGCTAACCAATGCCCACGGCCCGCACCTCCCGCCCCGAAGACAGCCTGGGCCAGCGGTGATGGGGAGAGGCCGTGCCCGGGCTGCGGGTCCCCGGGAAGGGCCCTGTGGTGTGAAGACAGGGTGGGCAGTGTGCACCCTGACCCCCATCCAGGCTACAGGGAGCGGCCTGCCTTCAGCCGGTCCCCCCACGCCAACCCAGAATCCGGAGTTGGCGCCCAGGAGTGACCCAACACCCTCCACCCTGCCCGGCCGGCCCCAGGCCAGGACTCACAAGTCTGTGAAGTCATCCAGGCTCTCATCCGGCGTGAACACGTCCAGCAGCCCGATCACCTGGGGAGGCAGCCGCCGGAGCGCCAGGTGGGACAGGGCCCCCGCCCGCGCCCCCCTCCCCAAAGGCTGGCACCGGGCTCCAGGCAGGAAAGCCCCCTGCAGCTGTCCCCATCTTCCCCCCTCTGTCCACAGGCCAGCTCTGCCCGCTGGCAGCACCACCCAGCCCTGGCACACCTGCCCGCAGATGCAGGCTATTTTGGGATGGTGACAGCTGGGATCCTCGGGGGGAGGGGCAGCCCCAGTCTGGATCGGCTCCGGGCCATCCCAGGAGCCCCAGTCCCGGCTCTTCCTGCCCATTGAAAGTCTGGGACCAGGATGGGGCCAGCCTCCCAGGGGAGAGCCGGCATCCGGCGGGTCCTTCCTCTGCTGGCGAGGCCCCAGCCGGCACCGTGCCCAAACCAGCCGTCAGACCGACCTGCAGACAGACCCCGGCCAGGGCGATGGGGAGCAGGCGGGGACGGGGACAGCTGGGACTCAGGGATGCCTGCACCTTTGAGCAGGTGGACGGGCCTGGCAGAGGCCGCACCTGTCAGAGGCTGCGGGGATGGAGGCGGTGGAGATGGGAACCCTTTGAGCACTTGAGGAACACGGGGAGGGAGGCCAGGTGGCCGAGGCCCAGGCCGGGAGCAGCCGGGCAGAGGCCGAGGGAGCCAGGTGGAGGCTTGGCTTCCGTCCTAGAGCCGGCGAGGAAGGGTTCAGGCCGGCGCGACACGAGGGCAGGGGCAGACCGGAGGGAGGCGAGGAGGACACGAGGGGAGGGGACCGCGAGGTGACCCCTGCGGCCTCCGCACCAGGGTCACGGCAGGGCCGGGGGTGTCCCGAGAGAGGCCTGGAGGCAGGGGGGGCCCAGGGATACCGGGGGAGTGTCCGAGCCGGAAAGGGATGGCGCCCTGGGGGTGAGGGGGCCGTTGGGCGGAAGGAACAGGAGAGTCTGTGCCTCTGAGGTGTGGATGGAGCCAGAGTGGGGGCTGGATGGGGAGGAGGCAGAAGTGGTGGGAGGAGCAGAGCAGGTGGGTGTGGGTGGCAGCTCCTCCACCTGCCCTGCCCTCGGCCCCTCAGAGACAGTCCTCCCCCACCTCTTTCCCGGAGGGTCCACAAGGGCCCAGCTCCTGGCTGGTGTGCTGTGGGCCCGGAGGCTGCAGGGCGCACCTGCTGGTGGGGCCGATCGGGGGCCTGGGAGGATCCACGGGCACCGGGGGAAGGGGCAGCACAGGCCCCGGGGAGAAGGCCTGAGAGGGGTCCTGCCAGGGTGGGATGGGGGGTGGGAATGGGGGCGATGAGGGGGAAGGCGGATGAAGCCTTGGGTAGAAGAGTCTGCCCTTGTGGGGGGCGTTGGGAGACAGGGTCCGGGCGTGCCCAGGTGTGACGGGGAGACGGGAGCCCCAGGCTGGGCTGACATCCACCGTGAACAGACCTCACCTGGGAAGAGGGAACCAGGCTCCTGGGGACCATTTCCCGAGGGGAGGCCTGCGGCTCCCAGGACCCAGGAGGGGCCAGACCAGGTGTCAGGAGCACGATTAGCCAGGGCTGGGGGCCCACCCTGCAGCCCTCCGACTGGGTGCAGATGAGGGTGAGGCAGGGTGCTGGGGTGGGGCAGGGACTAGGGGTGGGACAGGGTGCTGGGGGGGGCAGGGTGCTGGGGGGGCAGGGTGCTGGAGGGCAGGGTGCTGGGTGGGACAGGGGCTGGGGTGGGGCAGGGTGCTGGGGTGGGGCAGGGTGCTGGTGGGTCAGGGTGCTGGGGGAAGCAGGGTGCTGGGGTGGGTCAGAATGCTGAAGTGGGCAGGGTGCTGGGGGGATCAGGGTACTGGGAGGGCAGGGTGCTGGGGGATCAGGGTGCTGGGAGGGCAGGGTGCTGGAGGGGCAGGGGCTGGGGTGGGGCGGACTCTTGGCCGCAGGATTCTGTAAGGAGAAGCAGTGAGAGCGCCCTGGCCGGGCACGCAGCAATGGCACCAGCGCCAGGCCTCTCGGCCAAGGGTGGTGCCTGTGGGCATGTCTGGAAGTGAGGGAGGCCTCTCTCTGGTGGGGCCAGGTCTGCCTCCCCCCCACACACATCAATGAACCCCGGCCAGAGAGCAAAGGCGGCGTCTGTGTGTTGGTCACTGTGCCCCGTGGCCTCCCCACACCAGCTCCCCAAACCCACCCATCACCGGAGACCCCAAGGCCCTGCGGAGACAGGTCCACGCCCAGCTCTGCCTCTCAGGCCCCAGGCCCCAGGCCCGGCCGCTCAGCAGGGGAGGCAGGAGCAGAGTGAGGACTGGAGGGGCCCTGGGTGGGGCTGCGGGAGGCAGGGGAGAGGCTCAGCACCCTTCCTGGAAAGAGCTCCACAGGATTTGGGGCGACACCTGGGCCATCTCCTCCCCGGGCCTGAGCGCCAGAGCCAGGGGCGGCCCAGGGAGAGCCGAGGTGGGTCCCATCCTTTCCAGGGACGGCCCGCCCGGAGGAGAGGGTGCCTGGGGGCCGGTGGGGGGGCCGGTGAGGGGGTGGTCTGGGCGGCTGTGGCGGGAGGCGCGAAGCCGGCTGTGGGGGCGCCGCACTCACGTTCTCGTGGTGCATGTGCTTGAGGAGGCGCAGCTCGCGGTAGGCGCGCTTGGCGTACAGCTCCGACTGGAAGGGCCGGTACAGCTTCTTGATGGCCACCCTGGCGCCCGTCCGGCTGTCCACGGCCGAGCTGCGGGCGAGCGCAGGGCTCAGCGGACGGCGGACCCCCGGTCCCAGCCCCGGACCCCCGCCCCAGACCCCCGCCCCGGACCCCGCCCGGACCCCCGCGCAGGACCCCCGCCCGGACCCCCGCCCAGGACCCCCGCCCCGGACCCCCGCCCGGACCCCCGCCCGGACCCCCGCCCCAGACCCCGCCCCAGACCCCCGCCCGGACCCCCGCCCCGGACCCCCGCCCGGACCCCCGCCCGGACCCCCGCCCCGGACCCCCGCCCCAGGCCCCGCCCCGGACCCCCGCCCGGACCCCCGCCCCGGACCCCCGCCCCAGGCCCCGCCCCGCACCCCCGCCCGCACCCCCGCCCCCGCCCGGCCGCGCTCACCACACGGCCCCGTAGGCGCCCGAGCCCACGGGCTGCAGGTCCCGGTACTCGGCGCGCACCTCCCAGTCCGTCTTGGTCACCTCCTGGCGGTAGAAGCCCCTGCGGGCGGGCGGCGGGGAGCTCATGGGCGGCGGGCCTCCCGGGTGCCCCGACCGTCCCGGTGCCCCGTCCGTCCCGGTGCCCCGTCCGCCTCTGGCGCTCCCTCCGGCTCCGGAGCTCCCGCCCGACGCCGCCGGGCGGCGCGCCCCTCCCTGGCCGCCGGACCAACCGGCCCCCGGGCCGCGCGCACGTGACGCCCGCCGCCTCCGGCTCCGGCCCCTCCGGAAACCGGGCGGCGGCGGAGAGGCGGGAGGCAGGGGGGGGTGCGGGCGGCGGACACGGGGGAGGGCGGCTCAGGCCCAGCCTGAACCCTGAACCAACTCGGCACCCAGACCCTGGCCCATCGTCTCCACGCCAGGCTGGACGCCCTGCCCGGGTCAGGGTGTCTGGGCTCCTGTCTCCTCCTTCCTAACCAGGCCCCTAGGGAGCCGCTGGCCCTCGGAGGGGACGCCCACCCGCAGCACCCCCGCCCCCACCGCCGCGCCCCACCCCGAGGCCCGGAGCTGAGCACGGAGCTCCCGGCCCCCAGCACGCCCCCTCCCCGGGGCTGGTCCTCCATCCTCAGCTGAGGCTCCCCAGCACCTGTCTTGACTGCATCCCCTTTTCCGAATGGGGGAGTCGGTTCCGTCTCCCAAGCCTAAGGTGCCTCCCCAGCACCTCTCCCTGCGACCACTGACCCCAGGCCTCCCTGACTCAGAGCCAGAGAGGTGGTCCCTCTGCACCCCCAGCTCCCGCTCTCCTCCCCCGGCATCTGGGGAGTCCTCCTGCCCGGCCACCCCCCGGCCAGCTTCCTCCCTCCTCTCTGTCCTTCAGGGCCCTGAGCCCCTCCTCCAGCTCCGGGCTCGGGACAGTGTGCCTGACCAGGGTGAAGGGGCCCCACGCCAGCTCTCAGCACCCCCTCGCTCCCCTGGGTGTGGGTCAGACCCTGTCTTGGATCAGACAGGGTTTGGAGGGCAGAGCCCCCGCCCCGGTGAGCCGGGCTGAGAGGGAGGGGGTAACAGGATCCCAGGGCCCCGCCGCCCGCCCTGCCCCGCCACCATGAATCAGCAGCTCAGCCGGCCAGCCAGAGCAGCTTTACACCTGAGTGCCTGCCTGCAGGATGCTGAGCCCTCAGGACCGGGAGACTCCATGGGGGCAGCCTGGGGCCCGGAGCCAGCGCCGCCTGCACCCCCTGCCCTCATGCTCTGGCGCCCGAGGCTCTCCCGTCTCCTCCGGGGAGCCCCGACTCCCTGCAGGGGGCCCAGGGGGCCAGCGGGTTCTCAGTCAGACCAGACCCCCAGGGGAGGCACGCCCAGTTCTGCTGCTATCTCCCCACACACACACACAGGTCTGGGCACCCCTTTTTCTCCAGGGGTTCCCTGGGACCTGAAGCCCAGAGCCACACTGCCCAGGCTCTGGAGGTGCAACTCCCAGATGGTCCCAAGGCCCAGAGGAAGGGCACAGGATGTCTGCCCCGGAGACACCCTGCCTGACCCCCCACTGGGGCCCAGGCCCAGCCCACCTGAGCCACAGTAGCTCTGTGTGGCCAGGGAGCTGAGTGACCCTCTCCCCCTAACCAGGAAGGAAAGCTACGTCCCTCACTCCACCCGACCCCGGGCAAGGGCCGGCCTTGGCTCCCAGACACCCTCACCCCCCCCCCCCCCCCCCCGGCCTCCCTGACCACCGAGGGAGGGGCCGGTCTTGATCTGGACCAGATGCACCCGCCCCCCACACTAAGCTCATTGGCCTGGGCGGGGCAGGGAGGGCACTGCCCACAGAAAGCTGCTTGTCAGACGGGAGACCCAAGGGAGCTGGCCAGGGCAGGGACAGGGCAGGGCCGGGCAGCTGGGGGTGTGATGCAGGAAATCCAGCCGCCATCCCGGGCAGCAGGCCATGGGCAGCACCTGGAGCCTGGGACACACGCTGAGCGAGAAGAAACCTTTTTTAAAATTATTTATTTACTTATTTTTTATTGATTTCAGAGAGGAAAGGAGAGGGGGGAGTGAGAATCATTGATCAGCTGCCTCCTGCACGCCCCCCACTGAGGATTGAGTCCAAAATCCAGGCATGCACCCCTAACCGGAATCGAACCCGGACCCCTTAGCCACAGGCTGACGCTCTCTCCACTGAGCCACACAGACAGCGTGAAGAAATGGTCTTTATTGCGACACCAGGTGCAGGCACTTGGCCCGTAGCCAGCCCTGCGGCCCTCGAGGTCGGAGGCTGCAGCCTGGCACCTGAGGCCTCCGCGGACAGCGGAGACTCGCCCTCCTCGCCCTCCTCCACTGTGCCAGAGGCTACAGTCAGCTCCTCTGGAAGGAGGGCGGGTCAGAGCGCCCCAGCTTCGCAGAGGGGCCTGGTCCAATCCAAGCGCCTTGATGTGGGCCAGCCCCTTAGTGCCCCAGCCCCCGTGACCGCAGCTCCCCAGCTGGCGGAGCCCTCAGGCTTCGGAAGCCAGGAGAATGCCCCGGCTTTTTTGCTCACGCGGCTGTCCCTGGCCACTGAGCCCCTCGCGTGGTGCACGGCAGGACCTCAGCACCCGCATGCCAGCGGGCCCTGGGGAGGGAGGGGAGGCAGGGACAGCCACCCCGACGTGGGCCTCTGCTCATACGACTCTGGCCCCGGGCGCCCCTAGACTCCCACGTCTCTTCCCACGTAAATGCCAGGAACACGCATCAGGGCACGTGTGCCCCACAACACAGGAAACGTGGCTCCGGGCGGTCCGATGTGACACTTGGTGGCTGTCCCTGCCCTGCCACCCGCCAGGGGAGACCAGCTCTCAGGCCTTAGGATCTCAGCATTTCCCAGAGCAGCCCCCCCACTTCTGGGCCAAGCAGCGTAGACCACGGAGTCCCTGCCCTTAGGGTCTCCAGGGGGCCCTGGTCCCAAGGCACCACCCCCAAGAGACAGCCCCCTGAGGGGGAGATCTGGGGACAGACACCTCCCCAGGGGACCCCTCAGGCACTCAGGTCTCCACAGCGAGTCCCAAGGGAGACAGAGCCTGTTGCCGGGATGTGGTAGGAGGACACTGTCCAGCTCCTACGCCCGCGGCTTGCACACGTTCATGCATTCGTATGTGTGCGCAGACGCCCACAGAAGCGGCATGCAGGCCAGGGGTCCCAGGCCAGGGCTCATGTGGCAGGAGGCAACCCCGGTGGAACCCGGCGGGCTGCGGAACCGGAACCGGACCGGAACCGGAACGGGGTGGGCAGGCTCCAGAGCGGCTCACTGCTCCATGTCCAGGCTGCCCGGAGGCTGCGGTGGCCCCGGGGGCTTGAAGCTGAGGACTTCCTGGTAGGTGAGCTCTGAGGAGTGAGGGGAAGGTGAGCCCCTGCTGCCTCCCCCAATACCCCCCCCAGGGCACACCAGCCACCAGCCCAGGCCCACCGCCCTGCCAGAGCCTGCCCTGTGCTGCCCCTGCTCTGCTGGGTGTGCCAACCCACCTCTAACCAACCCCTGGAGTTGGCGGGGGCATGGGGGGGCGTGCTGTCCCCCTCCCAGACCACCCCTGGGTGCCACCTCCCCCCATTTCCCTCCACCCCCCAGGCCCACCCTTCCACTCCTCCAGGGTGCGCTCCGTGGCCTCCACGCTCTCGTCATAGGGCTCGGCCTCGGGCTCGTCCTCGGGGTCGTGGTACTGGCTGAAGTAGGCGTGGGCCAGGGCCTCGGCCGCGCTGAGCCGCTGGTCGCTGTCCAGCACCAGCATCCTCCCCAGGAGGTCCACGGCTGCGGAGCGGCCAGGGAGGGAGCGGTCAGCCCCGCACCCGGGGCCGGCCAGACGTGGCGCCCAGCAGGGGCCCGGGGCCCGGGGCCCGTCCTCACCCAGGGGGTTGGCGCCACGGAAGATGCTCCTGAGGTCCTTCCCGGGCATGGGAGGCAGGGACTGGATGTACGTCCGGGCCTGGGGCACAGGGCAGGGCCTGAGGGGGCGGGACCCGCCTCCCTTGGCCCTGAGCCCCCTCACTCACTCACTCCTACCAGCCAGGGCGAGGGCAGATCTGGGCTGGTGCTGCCCTCCTTCCTTGGCCAGGGCACTGCCCTCACTGTCCCTCACGCCAGGAATGTCCTCCCCCTTCACGTCCTTCCCCCTGACGGGCCCGGCCCCGAGCTGGTCCAGCCCCTCAGGCCCTTCCTCCAGGCACCACGGCCGGGGCAGCAGAGGCGCCGGGGCTGGTGACTCACGTGCTCCGAGGAGATCTTGGCCAGCACCTCAGGGCTGGGCGTGCCCACCACCTCCATGATGCGCTTCAGCTGGTCAATATCTGCCTGGCTCAGGAAAGGCCCACGGCCAGGCAGGAACCCCTCTCAGGCCCCCAGACCTCAGGGACACTGCCCAGAACCTGCTCTCCTACAGCCCGGGACAGCGAGCCCAGGTGGGGGGAGAGGGAGAGAGAAGCAAGACTAGCCAGAAAGGGCTGAGCCACCCCCTCAACACCCCCCCAAAGGAAGGGATCCTGGTGCTCAACCCTCCCCCCCACCTGGGCAAAGGATACAGTCACTTCCCGGGAAGAGGGCCTTTCCTTGGAGCAGCTCAGCCATGATGCAACCCACAGACCAGATGTCCACTGCTGGGGAGGCGTCTCCATCAGCGTGTCCACCCCAGTCCTTCCTCTGGGTCCCCTCCTCCTCCAGCCGAACCCTCTGAAGGTCTGTTCCTGAATGCTGGCCCCAGGCCTTGGGTCCCCACGATTGGAGCTCCCAACGTCCTTGGCTTTGTCCCCACCCCACCCCCAGGCCCTGGCATGGGCTCTGCCCGCCGCCCCACAGGGCTGACGTCACCTGTCTGGTTGTAGTGCATCCAGTTGAGCATGATCTCAGGGGCCCGGTACCAGCGCGTGGCCACGTAGCCCGTCATCTCCTCGTCTGCCTGGCGCGCCAGCCCGAAGTCCAGGATCTAGAGCGGGCACCCCGGTGGTCAGCGCCCCCGGAACACCTCCTCCATGCCCGCCGCCCCCCCACGCCGTGCCCATCCCGCAAGCACCCTGAGCTCGCAGTCCTCGTTCACCGCCAGGTTGCTGGGCTTCAGGTCCTGCGTGCGGGGTTAGGGTTAGCGGGCCGAGGGCAGGAAGAGCGGAGCGGGCGGCCCTGCAGAGCCACCTACCCGGTGGACGATCCCGGCCGAGTGGATGTACTGCGAGCGGGAGAACAGAGGTCAGGTTCCCGCCGCCCCGCCCCGCCCGCCCGCCCGCCCCGCCCGCCCGCCCGCCCCGCGCAGTCCCGGGCCCCGCCCACATAAGACCCTGCCCACCGGCTCCACCCACCTCTGGCACCACCCACCCGCGAACACGCCCCGCCCATCCGGCTCCACCACCTCCGGTCCCGCCCTCTGTGAACCACGCCCACTCGACCCCCGCCCATCCCGTGACACGCCCACCACAAGCCACGCCCACCCCATCCCCCGCCCACTTATGGACACGCCCACACACATCCGACACCCGCCATTCACAGACACGCCCAGCCCCTACCCCCGCCCTCCCCGGCTCCACCACCTACAGCCCCGCCCATCCAGCGGACACGCCCTCTTGAGCCCCACCAGGCCCCGCCCACCTTCAGCCCGCGCAGCAGCTGGTACACCAGGAACTGCACGTGCTCGTCGCTCAGCGCCTGGCACTTGACGATGTTGTTGAGGTCGGCGCCCATCAGCGTGGTCACCAGGTACCTGGCGGGTCGCCCGGTGTCAGCACCGGCCCGCCGCGCCCTCCCCGCCGCGCCCCGCGCCGCCCCCCGCGCCGCTTACACTTCGCTGAAGTCCTCGATGGACGTGGCCGGCGTGAAGACGTCCAGCAGCCCGATGACCTGGGGGGGTCAGCGTGGGGTCTGGCCCAGCAGGCGGCCCGCGCCCCCCCGGGAGCCCCGCCCCCGGAGCCCCGCCCCCGCCCGGAGCCCCGCCCCCGCCCGGAGCCCCGCCCCGCCCGGAGCCCCGCTCCCGCCCGGAGCCCCGCCCCGCCCGGAGCCCCGCTCCCGCCCGGAGCCCCGCCCCGCCCGGAGCCCCGCCCCGCCTGGAGCCCCGCCTGGAGCCCCGCTTGGAGCCCCGTCCCGCCCGGAGCCCCGCCCCGCCCGGAGCCCCGCCCCGCCCGGCGCCCCGCTCACGTTCTCGTGCTTCAGGTGCTGCAGCAGCCGCAGCTCCCGGTAGGTCCTCCGCGCGTGGACCAGCGACTGGAAGGGGCGCGACAGCTTCTTCACCGCCACCTTCTGGCGGAGCCGCGCGTCGTAGGCCGAGCTGCGGGCGGCGGAGGGGGCGGTGGCGGCGACCTGGGGGCGCCCGCCCAGGGCCGTCTGGGCCGAGGGCGGTCCGCACACGGAGGCCCCGCCGCCTCCCCTCCGCGGCCTCCCCTGCCGGCCCTCCGCCGGCTCCCCTGGGAAGCCCTGGGGACCGGGCCGCCATCCGGGGTCCCCAGGGCCTCCGGTCCTGCTCCCTCCTCGAGGAGCGGCTCCCCCTGCCCCCACACTGCCTTCCCCCCAGCCTTCCAACCCCAGAGTCCGCCCGGGGGAGCCCAGGGCCCCAGGACCCGGATGGTTTGCCCCCTCACCCCCAACCCAGAGGAGGCCAGGATGGAAATGACGCCGACCGGGAGCCCAGGAGGGCCCAGAGCCGCCTCCAAGGCCTCTGGACATTGAAACATTCCTCACTGCAGCGTGAGGAGCCAGGCAGACAGAATGCCCAGCGGAACGTGGTGTCTCCATCCCCCGTGCCCAGCCCCAACCCCAGAGGCAAGACCCTCCACCCCACCCCACCCCACCTCACCCGCTCTTCACAGGGGACTCAGCAGCCCCTGGCATCGTCCTTAGGCCCAAATCTCAGCTCTGGTCTAGTCACACACACACCTACCTGCGCCCCCCCCACCCCCTCCAGCATGCCTCATGCTCCTCCCTCCATCCCTCCATCCTCCCACTCCATCTCCCCTCTCTGGGATCTGCTTCCCCAGAAGGAATGGAATCCAGTGTTTGGAGCCGCTCCTGGGAGACCAGGGGTCCCTGCTCGCGGGCCAGGTAGTGGTGGGGAAAGCCAGGAGGGAGCCTGGGCACCTGTGCCCTCTCCCTAGCCCGCCACTGCAGGGGGAGGTCCAAGTCATTCCTCAGTTGGGACCTCTGGCACCGCCCACCCGCGAACACGCCCCGCCCATCCGGCTCCACCACCTCCGGCCGCCAGGTGGGGCAGCAGATGGTTTTGCCTAATCGTGTCTGGGGACCGGCCTGAGTAGGCAGCTTCTCGGGTGAAGGGGAGCCCAGGAGAGCCCTCACCTGCCGGCACGTCGGGCTGAGTGCAGGAGAGACCCATTGGCCCTCTGAAGCTGGCTCACTGGGAACTCCCAGGAGACAGGCGGGGCGGGATGTGCTTCCAGCAAGGCTCTGTCAGACCCCTGCCTCCCCCAGCCACAGCACCTGGCCCTGACCCCCTTCTCGCCCCGGGAGAGGCCCGTGGCCGGCTGGAATGCCTACAAGGGCCGGCCTGAAGTTCCTGCCTGCAGCCACAGGGTGAGCTCAGGGGCCCCAGGCACTTCAGGCCCCTGCTCCAGGATCCAGCACTGGGCCTGAGGCCTGGCCCACTCCTAACTTCCAGCCAGAGCCTTGGGCAGAGACATTTGTGCGCTCCTCCCTCCCCAGGGCCGCTTCACCCCCACCTCCAGGACCCCCACCTCCAGGACCTCCACCTCCAGGACCCCTGCAGTGGACAGCAGCCACCTGGCTCTGGCCTCGCAAGGAACCAACCCACTGGGTGCTGGTGGAGGGCACCTATCACATCCACACCCAGCCAGCCTCGCCGTCGGCATGGCAACTCACACCAGACTTCCCGCAGCCGCCTCACCCCGGGCCCTCTGCCTCCCCACCCCCAGAGGGACAGGCCTCAGGAGCCTGGCCCTCCTTCCCCTTCCAGAGTCATCCTCTGTCCGGGCCCAGGGCCTCGCTGCAGGGCTGTAGTCTGAGCTCTTATTTGGAGCAAAAAAAAGGTGGCGTGGGGTAGAACCCCCTAATTGTAGGGGTCGTGGTAAGCACTTTGCTTAGGGCTACCCCCCCCCCCGCCCAGAAGTCAGAGACCCCTTGCAAAGTGGAGGGAGGGCACAGGCCCCCCAGGGCCATCCTAAGGGGAGGGGTTGCCCTCTCTCCCTAGCTAGGCTTTTCTTGTTCAAACAAAAGTACCCACCCTAGGGCGGGGCCTCTGCCAGACCCTGGGGCTGCCTGACCCCAGCCAGGGGCGCCCCAGAGGCGTGCTCAGACCTTTGGGGGCCGGGAGACCCGCCCTCTCGGGCTGTGACGCCGTAGGCTTCAGGCCCCGTGGGGGCAGGCGGGTGGCCCTTGCCCCCGCCCGGAGCGGGGTCTGGGAGGAAACTTTGCTCCCCGCCCCCACCCCCGTGCATTCCCACGGAGCCTCGCAGCGCCGTGGGCGGTGCAGGGCGAGGTCCCACCCCGCGCCCGGAATCCGGCCGGGCAGGTGGAGGGCGCGCGGCCCCGCCCAGCCTCCCGCCCGCCCCGCCCCGCCCGCCCCTACCAGACGGAGCCGTAGGCGCCCGAGCCCACCGGGCGCAGCCCCTGCAGCCGCTGCGGCACCTCCCACACCGTCTTGTTGAGCTCCTGCCGGTAGAAGCCGGCGCGCGGCCCGGACATGTCCTCCCGCGGCCCCGCCGCGCCTGGGCGCGCGGGGCGCGGGGCGCGGGGCGGGGCCGGCGCGGGGCTCCCGGGGCGAGGCGGCTGCTGGCGCGGCGGAGCCGAAACCGGCCTCCTGGCCCCTCCCGGACGGTCCCGGCGGATGGGCTGTGCCGGGGGAGAGGGAGCCGGGCCTGCCCGCCAGCCCCGCCCGCTTCCCCCTCCAGGGCCCGCGCGCCTCCCCAGGGATGCGCCCCCGTCCCGCCCCCGCCCGGCGCGGCGGATGGAGGCCCGGCCGCCGCCGCCTTTCCCAAGACTCCTCTCCCCGCACCCTCCCCGCTGGCGCCTCCCCTCGCCCCACCTCCCGCCCCGCACCCCGCCCCCGGCCGCTCCCTGGAAATCAGTGCCGGGCAGCCATCGCCCACACAGGAGACCACCGAACAGCCAGCCGCCGCGCTGGGCAGAGGGCACGGCGCCTGGCCCTGGGCCGGCCGGGCCTCCCTGCGGAGGCCGCTCTGGCGCGGCGGGCGGCCGCCTCCGGGCAGACAGACCTCGCCCAGCGCCTCTCCGGGGCCAGGCCTTGGGTTTGTCAGGACCAGGGACAGCGGCGGCACCAGGGGGTCGGGGGTATTGTGCCCATAAGAAGCTTTCCTTCCCTTCAGTGGGCAGAGCAGCGGTCTGCGGACTGAGGCGTCCCAGGTTCGGTTCCAGTCAAGGGCCCAGGCCCAGGCTGGGGACTTGACTCCCAGTGTGGGGCGTGCAGAAGGCAGCCGATCAATGATTCTCTCTCATCATTGTCATTGATGTTTCTCTCCCTTCCTCTCTGAAATCAATATAAAATATATATAAAGAAAGATTTCCCCGAATGAGTCTTCTTTGGTGCCTGGTACCTTCCTTCTTTTTGAAACAACCGCCCCCCTCCCCCCACCTGTCACCTCTTCCAGGAAGCCCACCCTGATTTGCCTAGATACTGAGGAGTCCCAGGGCTGCCAACACCTCCTGAGCCGAGGTTTGCTCTCTCGGTTTAGTTCCCACTTGCTGTCCCACCAGGTGTCCCTGGGGCCAGCAGGCGGGCACCCTCATCTACCCAGCACCCACGGGTGAAGATAATGCCTGCCCTGGGGCAGCGGGTAGTGGCTGGGCTGCCCCTCCCCCCAGGAAAATGGGAAATTAGGCTCTCGCCCAACATCCTGGTTGTTTTAAAAATCCTTCTTTACCGATTTCAGAGAGGAAGGGAGGGAGAGAGAGAGAAACATCAATAAACAAGAGAGAACCTCCTGCAGGTCCCCTACTGGGGACAGAGCCTGAAACCCCAGAATGTGCTCTGACTTCCTGGTTCGTAGGTCGAGGCTCAACCACTGAGCCATGGTGGCCCGGCCCAAAGTTCTGGTTTTTCAAAACAAGTTAAAACCTGAGTTTTTGCCCTAATGGTTAGCACTTTCTGGTTTGGCTCAGTGGATAGATAGAGCGTTGGCCTGCGGACTGAAAAGTCCCAGGTTCGATCCCAAGGCACGTACCTTGGTTCTGGGCACATCCCTAGTAGGAGGTGTATAGGAGGCGGCTGATTGATGTTTCTAACTCTCTATCCCTCTCCCTTCCTCTCTAAAAAAATCAATAAGGTGTGCTTTTTAATAAACAAATCCTGAGATTTTATGGAAATAACTGATTTTTAAATATTGACAACAAACAAAAATAAAGCATATGAACGCAGTACCAGGCAAACGGTCACTCTGCCTAGAGTAGTGGTTGGCAAACTGCGGCTCAAGAGCCACATGCGGCTCTTGGGCCCCTTGAGTGTGGCTCTTCCAAAAAAAAACACGTGCGATTGAAACTTCGGTGTTCGGCTCTCAAAAGAAACTTCAGTCGTTGTACTGTTGATGTTTGGCTCTGCTGACTAATGAGTTTGCCGACCACTGGCCCAGACTCTAGAGAACCCGACCTCGGGAATCGGCCGAGTCCCAGCGCCAAGGCCATGACCGTGGCCAGTCCCCCGCCCCCAGGAGCCCCCGGCCGCCCGCTCCCGCTCCCGTTCCCGCGGGGAGCGGAGCCCCGCCCCTGGGGTCCCCTCCGGCCGCGCCGGAGCCTCCCGGCCGCGGAGGGAGGTTTGTGCGGAGCTAATGAGGCTGCAGCTGAGCCGGGCCGGAGCGGGCCGGGCTGTGGGAACCGCCAACCAGCCAGAGGCCGCCTTTGTCTGCGCCCCGCGCGCCAGGGCGTTCCCATGGCGACCGCCCCGCCCCTGCGCTGTTGGCGGGCAACCCCGTGCTCCCCCCGGGGTGGGTGGGGTGTCTGCGACCCTGGGGCGCCCTGCGGTCCTTGCCGCCTGGAATCCCACGGGTGGGCGGTCCGGGCTGCCGCGCGTGGAGCAGCCTCCCTGCCCGACTCAGCGGGTGGGGGAGTGGAGACCGTCCTCATTCAAACCGGCCCGGGCACACCGCCCCCCCATCCCCGGGGGACAGGTCCCCACCTGCCTTCTGGGGAGGATCTGGGTTCTCACCTGGAGAGGTGACCTAGGCAATCCTGGCTTTTCGGGCTGAGCTTGGCTTCAGGAACAGAAAGGCCATGGCTGGGTGGGGCATGATCAGATTAAAAAGATTTTTTAATTGAGCCAAAACCGGTTTGGCTCAGTGGATAGAGCATCGGTCTGCGGACTGAAAGGTCCCGGGTTCAATTCCGGTCAAGGGCATGTACATTGGTTGTGGGCACAACCCCGGTAGGGGGTGTGCAGGAGGCAGCTGGTCGATGTTTCTAGCTCTCTATCCCTCTCTCCTCCTCTCTGTAAAAAAATCAATAAAATATATTTTTAGCCAAAGCCGGTTTGGCTCAGTGGTAGAGCATCGGTCTGTGGTCTGAGGGGTCCCGGGTTCGATTCCGGTCAAGGGCATGTACCTTGGTTGCGGGCACATCCCCGGTGGGGGGTGTGCGAGAGGCAGCTGGTTGATGTTTCTCTCTCATTGATGTTTCTAGCTCTCTATCCCTCTCTCCTCCTCTCTGTAAAAAATCAATAAAACATTTTAAAAAAAGATTTTTTAATTGATTTCAGAGAGGAAGGGATAGAAACATCAATGATGAGAGAGCATCAATGATCGGCTGCCTCCTGCCCGCCCCCCACTGAGGATGGAGCCTGCAACCAGGGCCTGTGCCCTCACCT